ATACGCGTGAAAACTGGCAACTGCAAACAGATACAAAGGGCCCGAGAAAATGGTGGATTTTCAAAGGAACCGCCTCGCTGCTGCCATTTTCCGCGCGACTACTTTCACCACCGCCCTTCTTTCTTGGCTCCGTGAAATATCCGCCGACTCTTCGGCCGCGTTAATTAGAGCCCGGTGCTTTGGCCGAAGTGTTTAATTAAAGTCTCCTTCGAACGAGTGGTGCTAGACGGATGTTCTTGCGATACCGTACGAGACGTGATCGATTTGCCGATCGACCGACGACGAAGAACCTTTTCAAAGAGACTCGCAGAAATGTATTTACTCTGAGCGAAACGGCCAACGAACGAGTTTGAACGTTCGACTGTGGGTTGTGTTGGTGGCGGGTAGGCGAAAAACAAACAGGGCGTAGCTCGGGGGCACGCGAGATACGAGACACGCCGTTATCGGAAACATTCATCGCGTACTCTCGAAGCGTGTGCGATATGATCGGTCGGTGTGTACACGCGCTCGCGATACGGCAACAGTATTATCATACAAAAACCGATCGGGTGCAACAAATTGTCGACTGTTTTGACGCGAATCTCTTCGTCATTCCCATGTAACATCCATCAAACGGAAAGCAGAATTAACATGCTGCAATCGTTAGAAAAATTCGAAATCGCGTTTCCCAAATAGGGACAGTAATCTTGCGAAATGGAGTATCGGTGACGCTTTATTTACGACTGTCTGCTTTATAAACACGACGGCTGAAGAGTCGAAACTTTCGAATTCCTTTTGATGAAACGGAATCGTGAACGCCAGCCAATCATTCGCGAGCTTTCACAAAGTCGAGGCTTTGGACTTTCCTACCCTTGGATGATCGGCGTGCACAGTCGAGTAGAAACTTCATCTTCGAGGAGTGCTCCTTTGGCAGAAAGACAAGAGCGCGAGATAAGCGGACACAACGGCGGCGGCGCTATGGCGAAGCGAACGATGTAACGCGCGTTATGGAGTATCGACCTGTTGGCACCCCTGCCTGCGTTTGCAGCTGCGACGGTATCTCTATCTTTAGCTCGGCCCGTGCCTTCTTCCCATCGCTCGGGACTCTCCCATACCCATGGGTGGCAGGGCTCCCCTTGTGGTATTTCTTTGCTCTCGTAAACGCACGCAGCACGCGCGTACTTCGCTTCCTCCCCCGTGAAAGTACGCTACCCCTCCCCATCCGTCGACGAACGATGTGTATCGCAGCAACTCGACCAACCGAGAAAAAGTTCAACGAATATCTCCGTGTGCGTTGCCGGTTCGATGGATAGATTCCTCTCCGATCTGGGGCAACATACATCTCCCGGTGAAACGAAAGGGCTGAGAGAAACGCTCTTTGAAAAAGCCCCGCCGCGGGCTCTCATCTCGGGGCAGGGAACTATTAAGCCGTAAGCCGCTTATTCCGCTTTAATACAGTCATTTTCACCTGACCTCGACGGGTTTCTCGTTTCGGTGGATTAATTGGAATCTTCGAGGAGAAGTCGAATGCCACCGCGGCCCACCTTCGTGACTGGATCGGCCTCGAGCGATTCGGAAGGAAAACGCTTTCGATTTGCTCGACCGGTTCCCACCGGGAGACACCTGTCGCGAACCTCGACCACGATCGAGAGAAGATGAGGAACGAGGAGCAACCAAAGGGACAGAGAGAGAACGAAATATGCGAACCGGTAAGAGAGACGATGAACGAAGGCATGATTGCACCGTTCGAATGCAGTTGTCCGAATTCCTTCTTTCTTCTCGTTAATCACGCAAGCACACACCTGCTCCGACCGCGAGGCGAAATTTACGAAATTATTGCGTGACAATAAGTTCTGTTCTCGCGACGTACATACTTTCAGGCGAACGGGCGTTTCCTCTTGTACTTCGATCTAATCGGAATCTAAAGAGAAATTCACCACGGGTCGAATAGCTCGAGAAATTTTTGTTCGTGCCGGGAACGCTAATTCGAAAAGTACACGCAAACTAACGGATCTCCAAGGACTTGCACACGATCCAATCGCTGGACCGGAATGCATAAGAGGGGACGAGGGTTAGGAAGCAGAGAAAAAGAATCTCTCACCCTCGTTCTCTCTCTCACACAGCTTCCTCGAAGAAAGCGCGCAGTACACCGTGACATAATCGATAAGAAGCTTTTTCCGTTGCGAGAGGCAAATCAGAATAGATATGTGCGCTGTTTACCGTCCCCATTTCGTTCCCATTTCGGTTTCCAAGTTTCCTTCGACGGTCTTTCAAACAAGAGTAATTAATAAATTGCCGGTGAATCAGCTTCGGGGAAACAATTTGTTCATATTTGTAATCGTCTCGATAGGTTCCTCTGTGTCCCCGTTCGTTCTCCGCCCATCGAGCCAATTTCCTTTCTCTGTGTTTTCTTCTGTTGCGCTCGTATAGCGTGTCCGTATTCGTATGTACCCACATAATGTGGTCCACACAATGGTCGGGATTTTTCTGCTCGTTGCACGCCGACATATAGAACCCACGAGTTTCTCCGGTGAATGGAGACAGGGGACCGTGCGTTCGCGAAACTCGCGCGGAACTCTGGGTTGCAAAGCCTGACGCCGAGTTCGGAGCCAAGCAGCCGCGTAATTTTCGTTCTCGGCATTCTCGTCGTAGTCGGCCATCGTTTATTTGGACGCACGATGGACAGTCGAACAACGTGAACGGTTCACGATCCCTCGATGCGCTACAAACTGACCTGGGGGGTTCCGTAATGAAGTTACAGGTCCCCTTCTGTCATCGTCGAATCTCGCAAGAAGGCCACGATGAAACTGTAACAGGCACAGGAGTTCCCTTTCGCCGAGCCGACGATCATCCCTCGGGTATCGAGGGGCCTCGATCGAAATTGCCTCGTCCCCTTCGTTCGACGGAAGAATCGCCATCGAAAATCGATAAGCCAACCTCGATGAAAAACCGTGGCCACGATGAAACGTCGCGATAATTATTTGTTCCCCTGTGCCATGGGAGTAATCACGATATCCCTCGTCGTGATTAAGATTCACGTGAACCAACACAAATATTTCCTCCGCAAAGAACCAGCGGCGAGCTTTCGGTGATTGAAAATTTCTGCCTCGAGGAACATATCGATGTTACGAAAGCCGCTTTTGCAATTTTCGACCTGTATTCCTCCGTGGGAAATGAGATCCTTGGTGAACCAGCCGATTTGCTTGCTGTAAACATCGATAACAGAAAATCGATCGGTATTCCAGATCGCGAAAAATACAACCGATTCCAAGTGACGACGTGTCGAGTGGCTCTGTTTGAATTTTTTTTTTTTATATATACTAGTGTTACTAGTATTGCACTTTCAATCGCCGTTGAGTCATGATCGTCGATAGTAACGGAAAATATTTGCGATGCTCGCGAACGTATATATGTCCAAGCTCGGATAAGCGATATCGCGTGTGGTCGATGGGGACAAGATAACTTGGCTTCGAAATGTGCAACGCTTCTCAACAGGCTGTCGTTCGTCACTATAAGAATCGAATCACAGAAGATACGAATCTTGATACATTACCAGAATGTGAGGGGCAATCTTTGAATGCTTTGCCCGATTATTCACAACAATAAACGCCTACGCTCTGTTTACGTAAACGTTCTGTAAATTCCTTTCTGTCAATTTTGTTCGGACCAATTTTCAAGCAGCAGATTCGTCGTTCATGGTTATCAGCACATGACAAAAGTATTGACAATCTGAAAAGTCCTAGCGGTCTTGCGCTTCTGCGCACGTAATTCCTTCCTCTTGCCCGTATCACCAGCAACTGTCGAACACACGAGTTATCTTAGCAACAGGAAACACACCGGGCGTGTCAAGATAACGTTGCCCCGGGATGAGAGTCTCTGGTTATGCAAAACGAATTACATGCTCTCTGTATGCCGCGGTCTTCTAGTCGGCTGCTCCTATAAAAGGGAAACCGAGATACAAGGGACATCCCGTGGAAAAAGTACGATACGATGCGACGTTATTAATAGCACGATGCAAATGGTGTTTTGAACCAGATACCTTTCCTGTCGTGTAAATTGAGTATAGGTATGCATGAGATCAACAACCTGCGCTTGACACGGGGTACCCCTGCATTGTATGCATACGGTGGCGTGGTCGAAATATACTATTTATGTTATTTCAGCTCGTGTATTTCTACGTGAACTGACGAAATTAGACTGTACACTCGTGTATTAAAGTACATAACATTTAATTCCACTTTTTCCATTCAGTGGATCCACGTTCGCATGTTTCATCCTTACCGGCCGAGGGCTAATAACAGGTATACAATAAATCGTGACCACGGAGCATTGCACCATAAATATACAGATGCGCTCGAATTATGTAACGCTTAAAGTTTCCCGATGGACGTTGTGCCAACGATCAACGAGCGCATTCTTTTGACGATCCTACACGTTTCCGAAACAGTACACTTTCTCTATTCACCCGTTCGTTTGTTTTCTTATGCGTATTGTCAAGACAACACAATGGACATTCGATTGTTTCGAGTCCGATTTGCGGTGCTGAATAACGCCAAACGAATAATCGAGTACTGCACGATGGTATTTAATAGGGATGAATGAAGTACACAGCTGTAATCCGAGTAACAATGAACGCTACATACACACACAAACACACGCGGCATAGCATTCGGCGCCGCATACTTGCATGGACGTGACATAAACACAAATATTCGAGGTTAACCCTGAAGAAATTACCGAATAGTTATTGCAATGGATACGTCATAGTCGGAATAGAATGTATGCAGGTGTTCCTCCACTCTTTTTAGTCACGGCAAATACTCGCAAGATTAGGAGAAACAAAAAAGAATTACATTCGAACAGGTTTTTATGGGAGAGTATAGAATAACGTAGATTCGAAAACTTTTGCTAATATATTTCCCGCCCTGATAATCACCACTCGTACCGTTTACTGAATTTTTTTTCTAATAGATTTCACAATTAAGCAGGAAACATTTAAGTTACGAACTTGGGTGACTCACCGGCAAAAACCGTATCCTGGAGGTTGTACTTGCTAGAGCCAGTTTTCCCGACTTTCGGAAAGTCCTTAAGCTTCCGACCGCTGAGCTTCAGCTCGCCGCTCAAGTGTGCTTCCTCCAGGATCCTCTCAAGGCTTCTGGTGAGCTGCTTTTGTATGTGGCCGCTCATGTTTGACGCGACCATCGCCATATTACATTTTTCGGGCACGTACACGCGGAAACACGGCAATGAGTAATCTTCCTGGTGTACCGCACGTCTTTTCGACAAGGTAAGAGTGTCTTCATAAAACAAACTGAACACCCGTCGACCAACCGTTCCCGATACTCGCTGCTGCGCTACTGAATTCCAGCTTTGGTAGAACGTGCATCGGCACATTCGATTGCAGCGCCACCAACCAAACGCCATTTTGAAATCAATCGATGTTCGAGATTCATATTCGAGAATCGCTAGCAGAATCGAATTTTCAAATTTGCTCAATTAAGAGTCACTAAAGTGTTTTCCCTTCCCGAGTCACGTTTTACGTTCGGATTCGATTCGGTTTTAAATCCGCTTCTGTGTTGTGTGTCGGTTCCGTGCAAATGGGCATTATATATGTTATTATTTACTATTGATGATTGGTAGACTCAGTGGAGAAGAATTAAGGATGATCAAACAACCTAACCCACATAACACTCAACAGAAGTATAGGCGTACGTTGTTTGGCGAAAAAGGTAGGAAATTTTAAGAAGATATGTCTATTTGTAATAAAAAAAATACTATTAATGAAATCACATTAATCTTTTGTCTATATTTCGGTTACTTTCTTAATGAACGGAGATCCAGCTCCGGATCAAAATGAATTTAATTTATATTGCGTTTTTTAACGTGTATCACAATCGTACCTATATTTTCAACTTACATTCGGTTATTTCTATTCATATACATCATGTATCATACAAAGTTGTATTAACTCCTACTGTATCGCGAACGTGTATTTTCCTTAATTTCTTTTTTTCTGTACATTGGTATCTGTATTTTGAGACATTTGATAGTCTTTTATCAATCGTTCTTCTATGGCTGGCGTACAGGGACTGTATCTTGCGTATTCCATAGTGTACTCTCCTTTCCCTTGGGTGGAAGATCTTAGGGTTCCGACATAACCGAACATCTCATTCAACGGAACTTCTGCGGTTAAAACAAACCATCCATCGGAAGCATCCATACTAGATATGATACCGTTTCGTCTTGTCATGTGGGTTAAGATTACGCCCTACATTGATAACATTATACAAATTAATATTATCGATTATTAACGATGCTATCGGGAAAAAAGGACTGTTCTCACTTGAAACTCCATTGGAGCAGTCACGTCTACAGTCATAATCGGTTCTAAAATTTGCCACGATGCCTTTTCGTACATTTCTCGCATTGCACCTTGCGCTGCTAGAAAGAATGCTAGGTCCGAAGAATCGACACAGTGGTTCATACCGTCAAGTAATCTGAATTTAACGCCCGCTAGTCTGTTTCCAATGAGAGGTCCCTTTTCGCACATGAATCTGAACCCTCTTTCTATACTCGGAACGAATTGTTTAGGAACATTCATTCCTACCGTTTCATCCTTGAACAACACGCTAGTATTCTGGTGCGGTGGAAGAGGCTGAAACGTTACACCTCTGTGAAATAAATTATAATTCGTATGGAAAAAAAATAATCTGAAGCGATAAAAGTCTGTACCTCTAGAACACCAATTACTCGGCCAAACTGGCCAGCTCCTCCCGACTGTTTCTTATGAAGATAATCGAATTCGCAAGGCTCACGCAATGTTTCGCGAAAGGAGACCTTCGGTTTTCCAAGAATAATAGGGCAATTGTATTCCCGTTCCAGTCTTTGCCCGTAAATTTCTAAATGTAATTCTCCCATGCCAGAAACGATAGTTTCCTAAACCATATCGTATATCATGGAACGGTTGTGTCCGTAAAACTGTGTTAATATGTATATATTCTAGATCTTTAAATCATTACCTTGTTGTCTGTGTCATAGTGTAATCTGAATGTCGGATCTTCTTTAGTGAATCGTGCGATACCTTTTGAGAATGTTTCTCTATCTTTTGAATGTTTTGGTTGAATGGACATTGATACTACAGGATCAGGTACATAAATAGATTCCATTGATAGGTCTGAATTAGGAATATTGACAAATGTATCGCCTGACGCGCAGTCTATACCAAACACAGCAAAAATGTCTCCGGCATAAACTTCGGTTACATCTTCCATTTGATTCGAGTGAAGTCGTACTAACCTTTGCACACGAACCTACGAAATCGTATATTAGAAAAATATAAAATAAAACGTACTACCGATTAAAAGCTATCAAATCATTAACAAGCACACCTTTTTCCTTGTTCTTGTATTGTATATATTGTCTGCTTTTTTCAACATTCCTTGATAACAACGGAAATATGTTAGTTGTCCAAATTTGCCAGCTTCTAATTTAAATGCTAACCCAAGAAATGGATGATTATCGCTTCTTTCAGGACTTAAAGGTACTTTAATAGTCTCTTTCCTGTACAAGTTAAAGAATACTTTAAAAAAAAAAAATAAAAACAGATTAACACGTTCGCTGTCAGTATGAATAGGGCGTATAAACATTCGTAGTGCGAGTGGTTCCGGTCGGAGCCGCCGACAGCGAATTTGTTAAAAGAACATATCAAGTATATGACAGATAAATACTCATTCTCTTTAAGTGCATAGTTTTGAACTTCACCAGGATTTGGTAAATATTCCAGTACTGCATCCAATAGTGGTTGAACACCCTTATTCTTTAATGCAGACCCAAGTAGAACAGGTGTAAAAGTCCTTTGTAAACAACATCTACTGATAGCCTTTTTAATATCTTCTTCCTTAATTGGTATTTCATTTAAATACATTTCTGCTACCTTATCGTCAACATTACTTAAGTGTTCAATTAATTGTTGTTTAGCATCTTGTGCCTCTAGATACAATAAGGTATACATATAACTTTATTGCAATGGTGTAATACTCATTGTATAATTGTATCTATCTAAGTGTACCTGATCTCATATTTGATGGAATTTCATCTTCTCTATTCACTTCACCATAATCTCCTTCAAAGTATATAGCTTTTTGTAAAATAAGATCTATTATTCCTTTATGGTTACTCTCTAAACCAATAGGTAATTGTAGAAATGCAGCATTATGGTGCAGTTTGGTACGTAGAAGTTCTAAGACTCTTTTGTGATTTGCACCCATCCTATCTAGTTTATTGATAAATGCTAGGCAAGGTACATTGTACCTTTTCATTTGTCTATTTACAGTCATTGTTTGGGATTGAACACCACCAACTCCACACAATACAAGTATAGCTCCATCTAAAACACGCAGAGCTCTTTCTACTTCAACTGTGAAATCCACATGGCCTGGGGTATCGATGATATTAATGTTGTGATTCTTCCATAATGTGTATGTTGCTGCTGATTGAATGGTAATGCCTCTTTGTCTTTCTAATTCCATACTGTCCATTGTTGCTCCAACATTGTCTTTACCTCTCACCTTTTATATTTTACAAAATGTAATATATAGAAACAAACTTTATATGTACCAGTTTAATGAAAATCGTCTTTTGCTTACCTCGTGCATTTGAGAGATTCTTCCTGTATAAAATAATATACGTTCTGTCAACGTAGTTTTTCCAGAATCAATATGGGCGGAAATACCGATATTTCGAATTTTCTCCAATGGTTTATGTTCCGAAAACTTCGTATACGATGATAAAAATCTTAAATTCTGTTGCAAATATAGAACAAACGATGCAAAGTACTATCATGTAATATTACTTGATTTAATTTAATAACTTGTTTGTAACCTAAATTCTATAGAAGGTTAGATTTTTTACCTTAAAAACGTGCGATGGCACGGATGACAATGTGGTTAATGTATTGTTATGTCTTAAAACTCTTACAATGGACATGATGACTGCTTGTAATAACTCTTTTTTTTTTAATATTTTGATATTATTCAAATCACCTCTTGCTTTGTTTCACAATACGTACACCGCCACACACCACCACGAATAAAATAATTGTTTATCGAGTGTTTACCGAGTGTTACCGAGTCTACTACCCCCCGTTTGCCTTCCAGGAAACATTCCTAAAAAAATATTTCCGTCTATGCCACTTGATGCCACTGACTGTAACGCATATTATAGTGCCAGTAAAGAACTTGTTCAAATTTCAAAATTATAGTCTATATATACAAATTGTTTTTATGTTTATAATTCACCACGGTTTTACCGCTGTGTTGCAATTCAAAAGATAGAAAAGTCTTTAATTCGAACTATAGTTCAAAGTAAATAGAATATTATGAAAGTGGTAGTGTCCATTAAATTGTAAACAAATAGCGCTATAAGATACTTCTTTTGTAACCGTTGTTATAAGGTATAATTAAGTATATTTACTTTCTTGAAAAATACAGAATGATAGTATGAAAGCATAAAAGAAAGTAACGAATAGATATTTTGCATATTATTTATTCATCCTTATCAGTTTTAAATGAAACTTTTCATGAACAAAACGTAAATTCTTTAATCAATTTCTAAATTCGAATTATAGTAAAGAAGATTTACGATTTTCCGTGCTGAGATTCACATATCCTCATCACAGTTAATCACAGTATATCATAAGCATAAGCAATAGATGGGAATGATATTTTCTTTATCTTTTAGGAGGCAGGAATAGGGAGATTATTTCGTTTGACGGTGTACACGAACTTCATTAGAACCAATTAGAACTTGGTGAACGTACATGTCCTTAGCATTCATAAAATAGAAAAGAAATGGGCCTAGAGAAAAATTGTTTATTGTGTATCACATAATTATATATATCATTGTTTTCTTCACGATATATTGAATTCTACCTTAATATAAAATAGGGCGTATTGTGAACGTAAGAATTTTATAATTTCAACAAAATAAAACATAACAAGCTTATGCAACTTACATGTCAAACTACTTTTATGCTACTAATATTTACATTGAGCTTACAGCGCCAGGAAGTACAAATATTACGAAACTTAAACAATTATACTTTGTGCTCGAGTGTAAAATTTATTTTCACACCTTATTTATAATCATAATGAGTATTGTATACAATGCACACCTTACTATATTATTGATAATATATGTGCATTTGCTCTGAAAAACTTATTAAGTATCAAAATGCATTTGAAAAATGATAATCTATGAAAAGTATAAATCAGTACAAATTGTATCTTAACAATTTTAATAATTGTTTTCTAGGCTCAAGAAGAAAGTAATAATATGTTAAGAATAGTCACAGTAATTTATGTTTTGATGAAAATCAACACTGATTGTCATTGATCAATCATTTATAATTCATTAAACCATGAACATTCAATTTAAACACGTACAGACAATGAGAGTCATGACTTACACTCATTATATTTATTAAAATATGTTTCTAATAAATTCTGTGCTACTTGCTTGAACATATAAAACACTAATATTGACACTGGTATAATATTTATAATAGCTTTTTAATTATGCGGGATAAACGTAGTTCTTTTAAGTATGTCCTGATTTCAAATCAAAAGATTCTACAAGTACAAAATATACTTGCAAGGGTTAAATAATTAGCATAATTTTTTTAATACCCCATTCGACACTTTAATGATATTTGAGTATATTCTGCTTTCTTGTATTCCATTTTTCCTTTCATTTGTTTCAATACTTGAGTGTTGATAATGAATTTTCATGAAGAGTATAAAATCTGTTTCGTTCTCATACAATTTCTTTTCTGTACATACATATATTTATGCAGAAGTTACGCTTTCTTTCATTATCCTTATAGTTAAAGACTTTTACAAATACATTAATATTACATCTGATTAAAAGCAAGTAACGTTTTTGGTACTAAGTTTAGTTGGCGAATGTTTTTCGTCGTTGTCGCCGAAATCCATACCGAATGGTACAGAATTCCAAAGGGCTTTATCGCTACGGTCATCTTCTTCGCTTAAAATATTGCACATCATTCGATCATCGTAAAGAGAAAATCTTGCGGTTGATTGTCCACGACCACGAACTTTTCTTACAGAGGGTGGCAAATCCCCTGGTGTTTTTATTCTCATATGTGGATCTTTTAACACGTTTACGTTAGATCCGACATTGAAAACCTCGTTGAATTTATCGATACTCTCCTGCCTACTGAGATTATTCACGGTCTTTTTATTTCTCAAATGAACAAGAGGCAAAGTAGAGGGTCGTGTATTTGTATTGTTATCATTCTCTAGTTTCTGTTTTCCAACTTGTACAGCATTTTTGTCATTTTTATCCAATGCAATTGTAGAAGCAGGTGCCTTAGTAATAATACCATTCACATACTTTCCCCCTGGAGATATTGTTACATTCGTTTCAACCGTTTTGATTTGCACATTCTGTTTGGATAGTAAATTCGATTTCGAATCTTCTCTATCTATTTGGTATTTATTGTAGGTATGCATCTTTTTATTAACAAGTAACTTTTTCAGACTTGGCCACCCGAACAATTTTTTCCTAGGACTTTCTTGTGAACAGACCTCGTGTATGTTTGTTTGTTTACGTTTACCATACGACGTCGTGCCATCGTCGGAAATAACATTTTGAACGTACGGTATAGGAGTTACTGGTCTCAGCTGTGTCAGTTGCGTCGTGTGTTGGCTCAAGTAATCATGAGAAACGAGTCCCTGCACTTCTGACACGATTCTGTATTGATCGTTACACGTGTGCTTCATGGACTTGTCAACAAGTACGTTACCGTTACACCCCAGTTCTTCAAACGAATCCGACGGTAACATTAAATTTCTTTCCATACAAGGATTTCGTCCTTGATAAGGCTGAAGTGTTTGAGTATGATTGTATACTGCTACTTCGTTTGAATTTTTAACTAAAACATAAAATAAAAACTAGAAATACGAATTCAAATCAATTGATGATTATATTTACAAAACAGTTGTGAAATACTTACAACTATGCTCGTGAACAATACTTTCAGAGGGTGATAATGTTACCAAATTTTCAGCAATGCCCTCATTACTTGTATTATCTTGTACCATGTGTAATGATAAATAAGCGACGTGAGCGTTATCGTGATGCGAAGTTTCACTGTAAAGACTGTTTGTAGTTGAAGGCACTAAGGTGCAATGGGAATTTACCATTGGACTACCATCTGTGAAGTGCATGGCCACTAAAAATTCAAAAGTTTATTTTGTGGCTTTGAAAGAGTCTTTTTATGCCATGTTTATACAATAAAACTTACCTCTATGGGACTGAAGCTCTGAAAGACGTTCTTCTATACATAAAGCAGTTAATCGAGCTTCCGCATCTGCGTCCCAGCAATCTTCCATCGTTTCCCTAATCAAACGTACTCCCGGTCTGTCTACTACGTTACCCTCTAGCAACGGTCTAGCTTTATTACGAGAAACTAAAACTTGCATTTGTTCGAATGTCGGGTGAAGGCCAATCTCTTTCTCATATGGTTGTCTGTACACAGGTATTTCTGAGCCTGGCATGTAGATGTCGGAACATCTTGAAACTAATTCCCACAGGACTAAACCCATTGCATAAACATCTATCTGCTTTAAAGAGCTTTCACAATCTCGTAAATTAACAGCACCCTCCAGTACTTCTGGGGCCATGTATCTTAAAGTGCCAACCTAATTAAATGATTATAAACGATATTATGAATTGTCTTAATCAGTAAATAGTTTCTGCAATATATGTAAGTTTTTGTCTTACGTCATTGATCGATTTTATCTCCGCGTGTTGTTCTTCCCCGTTTGAGTAATATTTGGAACCAGAAATTTGAACTGCCAATCCTAAGTCGCATATACAAGCAGTTCCATCAGCTTTAATTAGTATATTTCTTGAGTTAATATCTCTATGCGCGATACAGGGTTTAAATTTATCTGTAAAACCAATTGTCTAATCAAGGCTATCTTTTAAAACGGTCAGGAAATTTTCTTCTTGTATTTTACTTACCACCTTTGTGTATATCAGTATGTAAGTAAGCAAGTCCTTTTACCATAGAAAGACCCATTTTACAGAATATGGGCCAATCAACTGTACGAGTTTTTAAGAAATCCGTCAAAGTACCACCTGGTGCAAAACTAAGTACCAAAAGATATTCGATGCTGCCTTCCATGCTTACTCTTTCATCCACACCTAAGGGTTCACAGTTGCTTTCAATAATGTGTTGGTACAAATAATGTTAAACAAATTTATGATAGAAATATACTAACCATAATAATTTAATAAAGATGGGTGTTCCATGAAGGGGAGGCAATAAGTATCCCGCTCATTTTGAAAATAATTACGATAGTGAGAAGGAAATATTTTTACAGCAACGTCTTGATCTCCCATACTACCTTGCCATACAGAACCATATCGTCCTTGTCCTGAAAATATGTCACAAATACATCATGATAGTCAAATTATTTAAATATGTTGTAGATCAATTAATAAGTCTGCAAATGACATACCCACAATCGTTGTAAGTTTCAAATGATCCACTGTATAAGTACCAGTTCTTAGTGCTGTACTGTCCATAAACTGATCTGTGTAAGAGAGTGGTTTTCCTAATCTTGATAACATGTTGGTATGATACATACGATATACCATTAGTGCTAAAATACATATCACTAGTAATATGCAAACTAAGACACTCATTATAATAAGTATCCATCTTCCAGAATCCGATTGTTCCAAGTATTCTGTTGCTGAAAGAACTCCCATATGAAAAGTATCAGTGACTTAAAAAATGGCATAAAATATGTTTTATATAACATTCATTGACCTTACTTGGTTGATTATTTTCTTTAGGAATAGAGTTATGTACTTTGCTATCAGAATATGGAAGATTAGTGCTGTTAATATTGAGATTACAATAATCTCCATGACAACAGCAGAATTTGGTGTTGTTCAATGCCTTGGTAGAATGTTGAAGAGCAATACATTCGGAAGTTTCACATTTTTGTTCACCTGATTGTTTCCAACAACCTAAATTATAATGCATTAAAAATGTAATGTTGTTACAAGCATAATTTTAAAAACATTTCTTATATAACCGGAAGTACTATGTGTACCTTGGGATAAAATGATAATTTCTGTTCCATTTGCAGTCTTATCTTCTCGCCATAGCGCATGGCAAAGGTTAGTACACTCTTCAAATTTAATATTGTCATCTGTCTGTGAAACATTGATTAATCTACTTTAATGTACTGCATGTTAATTAATTTATATATCATCTTACATGTATATAAATAATACCGAATTTATCTAAAAACATATACAGTTTCAATACAAACTTTTAACTTACTGTGGTATGAGCTACATTACTGTTGCTGGGTACACTTTCAGGTACACTGGGTATATTTTGTTTTAAGGAAAGATTTTCAAAACTTTTCTTTCTGCTGGCACATATTTTAATGGCATTAATGGGTGCTGAGTTTATCCCACATAGTAGCGCGATCAATGTAATTGATACAATGGCTTTCATTGTGCCTTAGCAGGCCTCTTGAACTCAAACACTTCAATGGAAGCGTTGGTCCTTAAGAAGTGGCATCTTTGATTACAACATATACTACTGCCATGTGTAGGCTTTGCTCATCTGTTCATTATATAGAATACACATCCGTTTATTGCAAAAACAATGATAATGATACATTTTTTAATAATAAACTTCTCATAAAACAAATAGAAAACTTAAGAATGATATTTACATACAAACACAACAACCATAATAATAAGGTTCTTTGTAATATTATCAAGTATTGTAGACATATGAAATTGACACATAGAGCAACTTCTAAACATTGTTAAATATCATGAAGTAATTAAATACAGTGGATAAGAAATGAGAATATATTAAAAAACACTATGTTTTGTAATAAAAAAAAAAAAGGATATACGTGATTAGCAGCACGAATATTGACAAATGCAATTAATTACATTGTTTGTGGATTAAATACGTTGTACAAAAAATAAAAGCGGCGGCAATTATGACAGGAAAGAGGTGCTGTCTCTTAGAGAACGATTCCATACGAATATTAAAATGATATTAAAATTTGTACGCTGCAGTACACACCGTAAACGCGTATAAAAAGAAGCGTAATACATGCTGCAAAAAATGAAGAATAGGCAAATGAAAAAGAATACAGTGGTATCGCACGGTATGTTACATGCAAATTAAGAGAAACAGACTTACATCTTTATAAACAGATTTCTCGAGTTGTTTAGTCGAGAATCTCGGAGAGAAAGATTTGATATCAGTCGTAACATTGCACACATCCGTAGACGAATATGAAATATTTTTAAAGTGAATATCGTATCAACATTTGGACATTTGACAGACAAACTGTGTCCATTGAATTGTACTTCATTCACGTGTTCCCAAAGGCTACCAAAGAAACGTAAAACGTCAGTTCTGTAAGACCATTACACTCTCGATATCAACTCTGCATGCTACCAACATTATATACCTAACATGCGACTCATATTTTTTCACATATTTTATTTTCAGTTTTTGCCTTAATTAAAATTAAATAAAGGAATTATAGTGTTGGTTATATGTTCAATGGCTTGCATAGCAAATTAACGTATAATATATGTTAGTAAAAAGCACTAAAGCAATCAGCTTATTGTCGTTATTCTTGTCTTGCGAAGAGAATAATATTTCTCTATATTCTGATTTATTTATAAAATGAAATAAACTTAAACTTTTCAAGCAAGAAAAAATAATGTACGAATTTGCAATTGATTGAATCGCATACAACAAATCAGACATTCAATTTTTAGTTTAAGAGTTTCCAACAGGTAGTTCAAATTCGTGAATGTTGTAACTAGAGACTCACGAATTGGCGCGCAGCGTCTTATTCTGCGTGTTTTCGATGTTATATCGTGCAAATGGCGGCTTTCGCTATGTTTTGTTCGATGTTTCTTAAAAATTAACTGTTCGTACCATTTATTGCACATCATAGGCGAAGAAGTAATATTTGTCGATTGATTTTATACTTGTGAGAGCTTCCGTCGACATGGTGAAGCTTCATAAGAAATTTTTCGCTGGTGATAAGGTGTTTGCGAAAGTTCGAGGTTATCCACCGTGGCCAGCCAAAGTAAGTGCAATCGTGTATATTATTTTCTGTAGAATTTAGACAGGCTTTGTAACGATAAATCTCCGCAATGTTAATAATAACTCTCGAGTTTACTTTATAATCGAAGCTGTTATTTTTTATCGGTTTGATACTTCCGAAGCAGTGTGATGTCGGTATTAATATATGTTGAAATTGTGTTTGCACAAAGTAAATAATGTCAACTAATTTCAGTGAATTTCTACGTTGTATAAAGTTTGTCATCATTTTCTTGTAAATTCAGTTGCATTACTCTAAAGAATAATTAATCGATTAGGTACAGTCTTATTTATATTTATAATGTAGATGTACATAAATATAATATTATATAACAATACCTGTAATAGAAAGCTGTGCTGCAATATGCTCTTTGTTGATCTGTTTTTAGGTTGAAAAAGTTATTGATCCTAATTCAAAAAACTCAAAGTATAGTGTTTACTTTTACGGTACAGGAGAAACGTGAGTAATGATTCTTATAGTGCTATTTGCAATAAACAATTAAATTTCAATCCTGTAAATGTGATTAATGGATTAAAATTTTTTTATTTTCTTGCCCCAGTGCTGTATGTAAAGTGGAAGAGTTACATACGTATATTGAGAATAAAGCCAAATTTGCTAAACCTATTAGAAGAAAGTTCTTTCATGAGGGTTTATTACAATTAGAGCAAGAACTTAAAAATGACAGAAGCAAGTCTGGAATTAGTGCTCTCAAAGGTGAAGTATTTGTATACATACATAGATACAACAAAAATATTTGTACACATTTTTTACATAAATAAACAACTTGATGTTAATGAAGATGGAGCAAAGGAAAGTGGTACAGCAATGGATCTACCAACAGTCAGTGCAATTGATAGTGATATGGAATCAGGGTCATTGGTTATTGATGAGGAGGAAAAAAAGAAATCGATGAAAAGGAAAACTATGATGACTGCTACTAACAATCCTGTAATATATTTGTATCTATATACATGTAGTATTTATTATTCAATTATACCTAGATCTAATAAGATTTTGTTAGGAGTTTTAGCTCATCACGGTCAATATTGTATAAGACAACAATTATTGAACCGAGCACTCCAATATAAATTCAGGAACTGCCGACAAACATTTGTAGAGTTTGAATAGTTTGTGCGATTGTTCCTTACAGTTGCAAAAATACTTGAATATACGAGTAATTTACTACTCTTTGTTCTATTATGATAGAAAAATTTGATTAATTTAGGACACACCTGAGGTAAAAAAGAGACGTGGGAAAGCAAAATCTTTATCTGCATCTACAAGCGACACAAAGCAAGATACAGCCATGGATTCCCAAGGTGAGGAATCACCTAAAGAAGTTGTGAGTCGTAGTGGGAGAAAGATTAAACCAAAACGATTTGCTGATTTCTCAAGTTCAGAAGAGACAGATACTGCAGAAAAGAACGGTACATATAAAAGTATTTATTAGGTACAATGTTTTATTAGTAGATTTTTTAATAAGTATTTCGTGAATCATAGAACATGGAAGAGGTCGTACTAAAGTCAAAATTGAAGATTCTAGCGATCAACAATCACCTGGTGTAATGCATAAGAAAAGGGCTACTTTAGAAAGTAAGCACCTAAAAATAACATAAATAATTTAAATTAAGTTACAAGGCTTTAAATATGGTGTACTTCACAGAAAAAAATAATGCAGGTGAAGCGCCCATATTGGAAGGTACCGTAGTGTCTAGCACCACATCCTCCGATGTGCCAGGACGGCTTCTACTGGCATTAACATTTGCCGGTGAATACGTAGGCATTAAGTTAGACGTAGATAAGCCAAAGTCCTTTGAAAGTGAAAAAGCCAGAGCGCAGTGGGAGTGGTCTATTGCTAGAAATGCTATGAAATTGAAAGCACAGCTGGAGAGTGGTGAAATTTTGCCAGAACAAGTAAAAGATTGTTTAGAGTTTAATGTACATGTCCCGGATGAAGAGAAGCGGCTATTGGCGAAAGACGGAGCACTTCATCGAAAAACGAATAAGCTGAGGTAGTAACAAGTAAATTGGAGCATTCAGATTTCAAATCTTTGATCATGGATATCAATTCTAGGTGGCTGCGCATAGAAGCACAACTTTTACAGCTGGATGCTCAAATTAAATCGAACCTTGGATTGGACAGAGCAAATCCAGACAAATGTCTACAGGCAATGGATGATATGTTGTCGCTTCCAATTGACCCCTTAATGTTGAAAAAACATCCACATATTGTGGAAACAGTTAAAAGGGTAAGGAAACATAGAATTCTTAACTATTGTCATTATTATAATTTTAATTGAATTCTGTGTAACTTATAGTTGCGGCGATACATTGGTAACTTAACCGACTGGAAACTAACTGAAGACGAAGAGGTAGAATTTCTTACTTAGCTACATAAATTTATATTAATGAATTTCTTACGCGACCTCTCAAATTGCGTTTGTAGGCTACCTTCAAACAAAAAGCAGAGCAAATTAGACAAAAGGCAGAGCATATATACAACAAATTTAAGGTAATTATGTTTAAGGATATACACGTGTAATGTGTACACTATACAGGGTGTAACAAAAATGTTGGAGGACCCGGAAGTAGGAAACTTGTGAGGTGATTTGAAGTAAGTTTTTCCTTAGCAAAAATGTTATCTAAGGCTTTGTTAACGAGATATTAACAAAAAAAACCCCGACCAATCACAGCGCGAGTCTGCCGGCCGAGTTCCCGCGGTAATGTTGGTTACGCGCTGCGATTGGTAGCGAACGTTACCGCGGGAACTTGGCCGGCAGACTCGCGCTGTGATTGGTCGGGGTTTTTTGTTAATATCTCGTTAACAAAGTCTTAGATAACATTTTTGCTAAGGAAAAACTTATTTCAAATTACATCACAAGTTTCCCATTTCCGGGTTCTCCAACATTTTCGTTATACCCTTGTATGCATGCATAGTGTATCTCAAAGGAAATAATTTCTAAGAGAAATCTCTTTGTACGAAGTGTTCTGCCTTGAATAGATAAGTATATTATATTTTTCGTTTCAATGAACAACATACAGGCTATGTTTACCATACCCGAAGGTCAATCATTTTGGCAATCGTTTTCGGACCAAGTGGTCCATTTCAAAGAGTTAACGAAGGATATGCCTGAAGAAAAAGTATTTTCTTTAATGTCAGACCCTGCTTGTCCAGGTAAATATATTAGCTCGTACTATTGACACGCAGGTTGCCACATTAGTTTTATTGGCATCTTACTGAAAACTCATGTTTCCGCGAATGCAGAAACAAAACTTATAGATTCAGCCATATCAGAGGACTCACCCGCAGACGAGAGTGGTAGTCAACCAGATACAGACGCACCTGTTGAAGCAAAATCAGAAGTGCCTACTAGGAGCGAGACTCTGAAAGATCCAGAGGCCAAGTAAAATAGTGACCTTTTGTATCTGATGAAATGAAAAAAACATGCTTATTTTCTTTTGTACTAATGTAGTACTATATGACTCGAGTGTCTTAAAGCAGGAAAAAAGGAGTTCGCTTTTTCACACTTGGATATTACCTTTGGATAAATTTTGACACTATATTTTATTTAATGGCTTTTCTAGTAAATTTCCTCGTAATTATAACACATCCCTCTTGCAATATCTGTAATTAGGAAGCCGGTGACACTAACGAACAGCTTTCACTTTTTCATGAAAATTGGTTAATCATAATGCACTTAGTATATATAAAATAGATGTCATAATTATTTCCACTATTATATAACACGTTTTCTTTACGATGCAATTCATTTCGAATCTTGGGAAAATATCAAGAAAGAAAAACTACAAAAAAGGAGAAAACGTATTTACAATGACCATATAGATATCTTCGCTGTTTAAAGTCTCGCGAAGCTTATTTACTTAAATAGAACAGACATTAATGTATATATGACAAAATTGAAAATTACAGTAACTGTCTATACTCAATGGTTCGAGGTGTGTGGTGGGAACAAGTGATGACATAATTCATTGGTTTCAAATTAGAGTTGTAATAGTGCATGTTGAAGTCCATGTTCCATTCTTTTAATTGTAAGCGTTTTCATCGCACTTTAAAGGCATAAGTGGAATGGCTATTTACAAAGTAACAAAGCCATACCAAAATATTGTTATATATTGGTTAAGAATCATTCAAAACTTCGAACGTGTTCACTGAGACTGCTATAACTGGCCTGTTCAAAGGAAGAAAATAGTCTTTACTGAATTGCAGTTGAAAAATATCATACAGAAATTGTCATGGAAATACTAGTAACAAACCTAAAATGTGTGAGTATTGTTCTGTCAGTAAAATGAAAACATCATCAAACTAACGTAGTTTATCATTGAAAAGTCATTACATCAGTGTAAATCGTAACCTACACTTTTATAAGAACTGAAAGTTAAAAGTGTTCAACGTTTATGTAGATCAAAACCTTAGTGGCTCAAAGTACAATAATCTTTTGATCTTGTTAATTGTTTTCTCTTTAGGCAGATTGCATTTAAATTAAGTACCATTAATAGTGACAACATAAATGTACTTTTTATAAAGATTTGTCAAAAAAGAATACACTGTAATGGTGATATTGTTAATAAAAATAAAGTAGTGTACTTGTTTCTACTAAATGACAAAATAACCACTTATTCTTGTTGGGTTTTGTTATTATATTACATATTTATTTTCATAGTAATTGGAGAGAGTGCCTTTGAAGTGCATTGAAAACAGAAATATCAAATGAATAATTTCTGTTCATAGTTTTTTCCCCCTATACTTTTTAGTTGATTAACTCTTCAGATAATTACTATAAGATCTATCGCGTATTCATCCAAAAGCTAACGGATAAATGCGTCGTATGTTAAGTAATTGATATCTTGATTACTAAAAGCAAATGTTTATTTCAAATGTCAAAAGTATAAATATTTTGAATAAAAAAGTTACTACAAACTTTATAGTTATGATAGGACTACTCATAAAATTGTTCGTAATGAATGCATTAATTGTAAGTTAGATAAGCACACCCATTACTGAACCTTGAGTGAACCAGTTAGACCTATTTGGACTACCCAGAGGCTCCTCAAGGAAACCAATGTCCTTTTTGGACTACCCAGGCCACGTTGATTATGGTAGCATACTTATATGAATGTCTTTCTCTCATTTTGTATAGTCCTCTGAGTGTGCTCTGAGGATATGCAACGCTATTAGGTGATATGTGGTTAAAACTGTATTGGAGAACGGGGAAGTATTTAATACAAAGTCATTGTTTTTCGGAGCTTTAACAGTCCAACCTTGTATATATTTGTATTTAACACTAAGGAGATAATCATGAGAATTTAGTGTTTCCTACGCGTTTAATTCTGTGAACCGATTGTTGAATATTATTACAAGAAAGAATTTTCATTTTGGTTAGCAACCTTTAAGTTAAGGGACTTAACAGAAGTTGTTTAGACATTGGTGGTCGGAGTGCATTAGGCATGCTTCTTGACTATCGATGTTGTTAGGTAGTTGCTGTAAGATTTAGTGATATACCGTTGTATAACGGTTTAAAATAATATAGAAAGACTAATAGAATGACATTGTCTGTTAGAATCTATTAGGATCTCTCAAAATTGACAGAGTGCATTGAAAGCAGTCAATATTTGCAAATTTGCAACCGTTATATTCCACCATTTTTAGCACCATATGACACAGTAAAGTAGCGTCATCTATTTTAAAAAATGGATATTAACTAGCTGATAGCTTGAGCAATGTGCCGTAGATGGTGCTGCGACCCTGTCTGTTCGCGTATACGTATATTATGAAGGTGTTGAATTGCATCTATTTGCAACGGTCCGTTTTCCGTTAATCACCCCCTGCCTTCAGACGTCCATATAAAAACTATAAAGAATCGTGTTGGCAGTCAAAACTTGACAGTCTCTGTCGAGCTACCGAGGAAAGTTCATGTTAATATTTTGTTGTTACATACAATCAAGTAGTATACATAATATAAAATAATCAACATAAATTACAATCAACTTACTAATAATAATAAAATGCGAGAAAAATATTCCTGTTCAAACACCTGAGAACGAATTATATATTTACAAGATTTTCCAATTTTTTGAAAGTATGTAAATCGAAAATATTGTTTACTTACATATAGATACATAACTTAAAATAGTCCGATTGAGACCGTGTTTGGAATCATGTTTATCAGGATTTTGCCAGTCTGTTATTAGTAATCTCAATAACGCAGAGTAAACGTTATAGAAATGTTATTCTTCGCGCGATGGTTTGATAACTTTGTTGCCGCAGCCGATTAGCGATGAAAGATAAGCGAACCCGGCCAGCGAGCCCGGCTAATGGGGTAGCTAGTAGCTACCAGCTACCTCGCGGCTAAAAAAGGTAACTCTTTCGCGGACTTTACTATACTTTATGGAATATATTGAATATCGAATCTTGCAACAGAATGCAGGATGCAGCCTTAACTGTCGCGGCATCAATAACTGTCGCTGCTTGGTGCATTACTTGACGACCTCGTCATATCGTGGCTCCTACGAATTTCTTTTATTTGTGGCTGATGTCGTGCGAAGTGCAGAAAATAGTTTTGGATTGAAAATAGTTACAATCTAAGATACAAACGTACACATCACGAATAACAGCTTTAAAGTTTGCTTGTCAAAGATATTTGAAAAGAGGATACTGCTGTTTATACATACATGTGTATTGAAGATAGTTTCATCTTTGAAATCGACTCTTCTAATCGCATTCGCAAGAGAAATATACAGCTCCTTCTGTGGTAACACACATATTTGCGCTCGCAAGGATGACGCGAACATTATGTTTGGCCCGATGCATGTCCTGGGTAATGTTGTTGTTCTTCCTCCTGTTCAAAGTGATCGGCCTCGGAACAGTCTCTCTGCGCGTGAACATTTCGAAGAACAAAGGCTCGGGGGACACACTATCTTTCAGGCGAAGCCCATTCGGAATGCCTTATAATTTGGCGCTTTGCTGCTTAGTCGTTGTGTTAGATCACATTTGTCTACCGGCTATATATTATTCGGATTATGTTAACAAAACCATCATTACGATGAGTATAGAAATATTTCAAGGAATATACGGAAGTCTAATGATATTTATCACTTTGGTGTGTTATTGTGTAAATCAATCGCACGTTGTAAGAATCGGCAATTACTTGATTCACGTCGAGGAACAGCTCCATCGATTGCATTCACCGACTCATTTGCATCGTGTTTTTTGGATACTGATCATCGTCTATTTCTGTCAGTTGGTTTTGTTCATCGCTGTTCTGGTTACCGAGCATCTAGCATTTCACGCGAGTCCCTTGGTGTGGCTAATGGATATCGGGCCCTCGAGTTTCGCGAGCTGGATTCTCATTCAATATTTCTCCGTGATATCCTTGATAGACGCGAATTTCACGCGTATTAACAATGCTATACAGAACCTCTGCAGAAGTTCGCACTACGACGTTTATATGAAATCTCTGAGTCAGAGTCGTCGATTGTTCGTCAGCAGTTCGACGATGGAGTTTCTCCTTCAACTTAGAGATATTCACAATCATCTGTGCGACGTTTCCGCCGAAGTTTCACGGTTTTATTCCATGCCAGTTCTAATGAGTATATCCTATATGTTCTTCACGTTGCTCTACAACAGTTATTATCTTTTGGAACCTGTGATCGTTGAAAATACGGTCTTGGATGTCATGTCTATGGTGAACACTATCCTTTGGGTAATTTACATCATTTACCCGCTCTCTTTGCTGACTAACAAGATCACAAGCATTGTGGACAAGGTAGGAGGATCCAGTGAATCTCGGATAAGGTGTGCATCGAACGAGGTAATTTATCGTATTGTTCTTTACAGATCCAAGAAACAGGGATTTTCGTGCAGGCATTGTTAAAATGTGCGATCGATCCAGAAACAAAATCAGAGGTAAACTATATAGCGACGCACGATTGTTCGTAATATATTCATTGGTTAACAGGCCCTTCTTCTTCTAGCTTCGGGAATTCTCGCTTCAGTTGCTTCATCGGAGAATTAAGTTCACCGCGAACGGATGCTTTAATCTGGACAACACGTTGCTGCAATCGGTGAGTAAACCTGATCGATCGAGTTTGTTTATTTCGATATTATCCTTACGATCCTGGAATAAACATTCTGCCCTATTTTCATCTACACTTCTCGTTATCAGATTGTCAGCACGGTAACAACGTATCTGGTTATCCTTATCCAGTTTCAAATGGGATCGTCTTGTCATACGATTTCGAAGTGTAACTGTACGGAATCTTAATTATACGTTCATAATAATTATTATTTCATCGACGGTACCTGGTAAATGGGGTGACCGTGAGCTGGAACACGAATCATTAGAATTCAAGTAAATCAGCAAGGATGAAATTATGGGACAATCAATTAGTGCGGAATACATCGATTGCAGTGCGACTGATTAAATACGATATCTTTTTGCTTGTATCGTGTTCTTTTTCATTTATTCATGTGCACATGTATTCCTGTAAATAACGTTAACCGAAAGCGAGTATAGGACTTGATTATTGTATGTACAATATAATTATGTATAATTGTATATGTCCATTAGTGGCACACGTGAATTGCACAGGACCAGAATATGGCGTGACAAGATAAGACCTAGCCGCACATAATTCTATGGGCTATGCAATAAAAAATTAATCGTTCATCACGGATCGACGTGTTCTGCTTTCGTTACCATTCAAATGTGTCCTTGTAATGACCTTAGTTCGACAGTTTATCAGGGTAGTCACGCTCAAGGTTCCGATGATACCGTCCAGGACACAAAATCGAGATGGGTTTCGCGTTGGTTGGTTGAAACGGATCAGAAATGGAAACTTCTCGATCGTTTAATTATGGAATCCTCGTTCTTACGACGATTAATAATGGACTTTGTGAACCATTATCGTTAGATGGACGTTTTGGAAAATTAATTTTACATGTGCTACGGGATGCTCGAACATCCTGATACCATAAATATTTACCGTTGAAATTTTAAGTACACGAAAGACCTTTAGAAATAATTCCCTGTAATTTGGTCCTCTTGTAGACAATGATAAGTGAAAAGGTCTAACATTTGGTCCACAGCTGGTGTCGTCCACGTGGTATATACCACCGAAACAAAAGGGTCGTAAATTTGTATCCTTCGAGTACGGTCACGAATTCAGCGCGGTCAACTCAAACCTTGACTGGCCAGCTTTATTAGTTGCACGTGTGCCCGTTGCCCCGAAGAAAAAGTTTCCCTCACCATAGCATCCTGGAAAAACCAACGGATTTCTATTCCTTCAGGGCACAACCAATCAGCTCACAGAATTTTTAGTAATCACCTTCACCTTAATTCTAGCCAGAGTTGGGCAGAATTTTATTCGAACAATGCCCGAGACACCAGTCTACTAACAAGAGCGAAGGAGTCACTGCCAACTTGCACTCCCTTCGCCACCTACTATTGGATGTCAGCTACTCACGGTGAATATAATTCGATTTATTTACCTACGTATTTGTTGAAGGAAATTTATCGATTAATTGATTGAGTCGTTGAAATCTGTCAAATTATTGTACCAGAATAGATATAATAACTGGCTATCTTTATCAGTGCAATATCATTCATTGCGTGCTGAATAATTGAATGTATTTGCTAGAATGTAGTGTTTTATATTTAATCTTCCTAGTCCGATATCATGCTGAAGAGGACGGTACTGAATTTGTTTCATTTGTGGTTGATGTCGTGAGTAGTGTAGAATGTAGTTCCAGTTTAAAATACGAATATTACGAATAACAGCTTTAAAGTTCGTTTGTCGAAGAAACTTGAAAATGGTTCGTGTTTGAAATTGACTGCTTTACATAATAGCTTGACAAGAGAAAAATACGGATGCCCTTGTGGTAACACACTTATTTGTGAGAATGACGCGAGAATTATATTCGGCTCGATGCATATATCGAGCAATGCTGTTGTTTTTCCTCCTGTTCAAAGTGATCGGTCTGGCAACAGTCTCCCTGCGGGACAAAATTTCGAACAACAAATGTTCGGGGAAAACACTATCCTTCAGGAGAAGCAGGTTTGGAATGCTTTATAATTTAATGCTTTGCTGTTCAGTTGTTGTTACGAACTACATTACCGTGCCGATTTTAAATGGCCAGGACTACGATAACAAAACCACCATTACCATGAGTATAGAAGTATTTGAGGGAGTATTCGGCAGTCTAGTGGTTTTGATCATATTGGTGTGTTATTGCGGGAATCAGTTGGACTTCGAAAGTATCGGCAATTACTTGATCCACGTCGAGGAACAGTTCCATCGATTGCGATTACCGATCAATTTTCACGGTGTTTTTGGGAGATTGATTATCGTCTACATCGGTCAGTTGACGTTGTTCCTCGCTCTTCTGGTTACCGAGTACCTAGCATTTAACGAGGGCCCTTTGGTGTGGCTATTGGATGTTGGGCCCTCAGCTTTCGCCAGTTGGCTCCTCATTCAATATATCTCGGTGATCAGCCTGTTAGACGCGAATTTCAATTGTCTCAATGATGGTATACAGAACCTCTGCAGAAGTTCGAACAACAGTAATTATATGAGATCGTTGAATCAAACTCGTCGAGTATTCGTCAGCAGTTCGACCATGAAGCCTTTCCTTCAACTTAGGGACATTCACGATAATCTGTGCGACCTTTCCACCGAAGTTTCACGGTTTTATTCCATGCCTGCTCTGATCGCTATTACCTTTCTGTTCTTCACGTTGCTGTATAACACTTACTACCTTCTAGAACCTTTGATCGTTGATAATTCGATTTTGGATCTCATGCCAATGGTGAACACCATCCTTTGGTTAATTTTCCTTCTTTATCCGCTCGTTTTGCTGACCACCAAGATTACAAATATTATGGATAAGGTACTAGAATTCAGTTAATCGTGGGAAGGTGTGAATCGAACGAGGCAACTGATTGTACTTGTCTTTTCAGATCCAAGAAACGGGAGTTTTCGTGCACATATTGTTAAAATGTGCGATCGATCGAGAAACAAAATCGGAGGTACACTATATAGCGAGGTACGATTGTTCGTAATATATGCATTGGTTAACAGGTTCTTCTTCTAGCTTCGGGAATTCTCGCTTCAGTTGCTTCATCGGAATATTAAGTTCACCGCGAACGGATACTTTAGTTTGGACAACACGTTGCTGCAATCGGTGAGCAGACGTGATCGATCGCGAGTTCGCTTGTTACGACACCTTCGGCTCAGAAATGAACATTGTCAGCCCCTTTTCATTTAAACTTCTCGTTGCCAGATTGTCAGCGCGGTAACAACGTATCTGGTGATTCTAATCCAGTTTCAAATGGGATCGTCGTGTTACAAGGTTTCCAAGTGTAACTGCACGGAACCGTAATTTCTGATAATTATCAATCTTATCGACGATATCGTGAAAATCGAAGTGAATCGGCAAGGAAGAAATCAATGGACAATCAATAATTTATAGTAGTTTTCTTTAAATCAGAATTTATCAATGGTTTTTTTTTTCTTAAATAGGAGTAATGTACATCGATTGCATGCATGGCAGCGAATTATACGACTGCGACCGATTAAATATCTTTTTGCTCGCAACGTGTCTTCTCATTTATTCATATGTACATGGATTATTGTTAATAACGTTGAGAGAAAGCGTCTAGAACTTGATTATTCTATGTACAAAGTGTTATAGCGTTCGTTATCGAGCAAGCTTTAATCGTGATGGCATTTAAGGTGGCTCACGCAAATGTTTAATAATTATAAATTTAACTGAAAATTTCACAGAACGTTCTTAGAAAGCTTCAACTTTCGATTGCTACCAAAATATCGGAAGGTGAACGGTAAAATGATTGAAAATGGAACGTTATAAAAGTGTCTTTCTAACACGAGCCTTATGGAACTGTAGTTGATACTGAGAAGTTAATCACTTCTTACTTAATTACAAAAAATTACATTTTCAAAAATGTTAACGGTCAATCAAAACTAAAAATTAAGATCAAAGTATCCATACTTAGGTTTCAATGCGTTTGGTAGTACATATCTTCCACACATGCTCTGCTATGAGCGGCAACCTCGCTTATTTTCCATTATTTGTTCAACAAACTTCCCAAATTTTTCTTAAAAATAAAAAAAAAATTAAATCTTTTTTATAATTAGGAAAAAAAATTTTTGTTTCTCTAGGTTATTTGTAAATTTTTTGTCCATTTTAGTATTTCGAATTAGTTGCAAATATTAATTATCCAAGTTAAATTAGTAAAATTGATGAAAAGCTAGATACGACACCAAACGCGTGAGCTACCTTAACACGATACCCGATACTGTCTCGAGAACGAAGAACTGTAGCGCACGAATGTAATGAGCTTTTTACTTGTCGTAGCAAAACATCTGGAGACACTGCATCGGTGCTCGAAATATCGTTTTCAAAGCTAACAGTTTTGGCCTTCGGCCATTCTTCGTCAGAGTCCCGTCACGAATACACATTGGGCGTGAATCTAGGCTTGCTAAATAGTAAATTTTCTTTTGGTAAAACTGACCGGGTATCGGACTGATTTTTCAAAAATATGCAAATTGAAAATATATTCTTTATCGGAATACCGCTCGATATTCCTTGAACCGCGTATCCAGTTAGTCACAGTCGTCTAGCTAGTCACAACCAATTAAATACTATAGCGGCGATTGTAGCCCGTTAGTGTACGATATTTCGTACATGATGTTGTACACTAAATGCACGATAAGAATTACCCTCCGTCACTACGCATTGACACTAGTAACGTCTTATCGTACAATTGGTGACGCCTGCTTACGTTCGAATGGATATTGTTTCACGCGCGTGATTGCTAATTTTCTGGAAAAAATATTCCCAGCGAATTATTTTACTTGTTTATAAGTAAATACACAGGGTGTCCCAAAATAGTTGTAAGTCCTTGAAAGGGGTGATTTGAAACAACTTTTTCTTTAGCGAAAATGTTCTCTGAGGTTTCATTAACGAGATAATAACGAAGAACCCCGACCAATCAGAGCACGAGTCTGCCAGCTGAGCTTTTCCTTTCGTTGGCTACGCGCTACCGCGGGAGCTCAGCTGGCAGACTCGCGCTCTGATTGGTCGGTGTTTTTCGTTAATATCTCGTTAACAAAGTCTCGGAGAACATTTTCGCTAAGGAAAAAGTTGTTTCAAATCACCCCAGGAATCAACCCTTTCAAGAACTTAGACCTATTTTGGGACACCCAGTATACGAAACATGACATACACATGAGCGATCGCCTCGTTTCTTACTTTCCTACATACACGCGCACATCGATACAGGAGTATTGCATTGAGTATTAAATGGGACAAAATGCATATTGCAAAATGCATACGCTGCTACCCAACGAGTCCATCGCGCGATTCCCGAGTGAATTCGGAAAGCCTCGGGTGTTTGTTTCGACGCTGAATAACTCGCTAACTTGTCTGAAAAATATCGTATCAAATTGTCTGTTAATCTCCTTGTCCTCGATTGTATTACACGGAGTAGAAATCGGTGGAAGCAACGGAATAACAATTTCTTCGTCGCCGAACGACTAGCAGTGGTACGGCACGATCATCGCGACCGTTGCGGTCAGTTATCTGAAAGACTGTACTCGCGATAACAGTCTCATTGTTCGTTTGCTGCCTCGAATAGAAAGTACTATATCGTCGTTCAAGGGGACGGGTGTTTACTGCGTGCTGATTCCAGTCGTGCCCGGGGATTTCGATAAAAAATTTCGTGAAAAAACTTCGTCTCGCGGCACATTTATTTCGTCGCGGCCGCAAGAATTATGCCGTTTGTCGTGGAAAAAAACCCGTGCACATTGACCGTATAACAATATTGTCGTAGCTGGCCGGTGTTCGACGTCTCGAAAGCTTTCGGACTGAAGCTGAATATGATCCCATTGCGATGTCGACTGTCGACACCGCGGATAGAAACGAATCGAGGCAGAGAACGATAGCTAACCGTTACGCGATCACTTATCAAAATTAAATCTCATCGTTCGACAAGCTGGTGTCGATATTTATTTTTGGACAATGTTCCTGCGCGAGATATATCCCTGCAGGAATCGTCGGTGTATATACCTTCAAAGGGGTTTCTTTGGCATATCCGCTACGGGTATAAACTATATATATATATGTCACCTATTCGATAGTTAAATTGAAAATACAGGTTTACCGCACACTGACGAGCGTAGACGTATCGTAAATCTAGGATATTCTACGTTCATTTCAACGGTGTGCGTTTCTTTTTTCTCTCTGTATATATGGTATATATCCATTAGTGGCACTTGTTAATTGCACTCGACCAGAATGTGACGCGACAAGACGATGTAGTCCGGCGTATGATTTTCTGGGCTACGGAAATGAAGAATTAATTGTTCATCGTGGATCGACGTGTTCTTCTCTTATTGCGATCCGAATTGTCCTTGTAATGACGTTTGTTCCAAAGTTTATTTCGAAGCGATCGTAACTGAAGGACTGGACGATATACCCTCTACGGTACACATTGAAACGCGTTTCATGCCGGCTGATTGAAACGAATCGGAAACGGAAGCTCCTCGATCATTCGATTACGGAAATTCGTTCTTAAACGGTCACGAACGAGCCTTGTGGACCGTTGTCGTTACACAGACGTCTCGGCCGATGTAGTCCCGTTAACAGTCATCGGGCTGATGCTTTCCTTCGATCGTATCAGGTCTACCTGAAATTATTGAATCAAACGTGTTCGTATCGCAGAATTTACAAAACGATAGACAGATTTTTAGAAGCGAGCAGTGACGGTATACAGACTGTTCTCGATTATTGTCCCAAAATCGGGAATGCCTGTGCCTTTGACTTCAAAATGACATTCAAAATGACTTTGCCCATCTCTGGTTCCACGCCCAGTGGTGGAGATGACACCTAGACAATAATCGTGTAGAACAGGCCAGCCGATAATCGAGAGGAGCCTATAACACACTTCTAAAGTGCATACCGGAGCGTCATTCTACGAGGAACGAAAACGACGTATCAAAGCGGCAGCAACCAACTTGTACGGTTTATTCAATTGACCTGTATTATCTGCTTGACATTACATAACACGAGAATCTAATCGTCGCGACAGACAATAATTGTGACTCGGGGGCGACGCGAACGTGTATTCCATTTGTACGTAGATTGTTCGGCTACTGGTGTCGGAAACTTTAAGATGTGATTCTGTATCTTCAAGTAAAACGAAAATTATGTATGACAAAATTATGTTGGAGCTACTTTCGCGTTTCATTCATGCATGCTAGAGAAAGCGACGACAGTGTCGTGCAAGAAACGTTACAAGCATACGAAAAAATTGGTTCTATTTTCTCTACCAGCGTCGTCGGTCTCTTCCTAAGGAGAATTTCTATCTAGGACGACTCGACTGGAGGGTTCCGTGCAGCTCCCTTTTATAGTCTTACTCACAGTAGCGTACAGGGGGTATGTCGCATGCCGGTGTATTGGTGCTCTTGCTGTGTGTCTTGCCATGTGATTATATTCGGATTGGTGATGGTGGTTAGAATTTAGAGTCATTTACGTGTGTCACCTTGATCGATATCCCACTGTCATCCTCGTCCTCTTCGGTCATCGTAGTCAGCCTCGTTGTCTCGTCGGCCATCAACGAGCTCTCTTTTTTCGAGTGCTTCTTCGACTTTCCCGCGCTGGAATTCAAAGAATTTCAACAATTTGAAAAGGGGACGGTGAGACAAAAAATTATTGGGAGACTATGGTTTAGACGATTAAACGAGGACAGACAGGATGAGTAGCTGTTTCGCGAGAATCATTACGTACTTGATCAATTTGGCCTGCTTCGGTTTCTCGTTACCCTCGTTCACCTGTTGCCAGATCCCTGTTTTGTTCACCTCCTCGCTGATGTTTATGCTCGTCATCGGGATCTTCATGATATTCCCGTTCGCCAACGAGATCTGTATGTTGCTCGGCGTCCCGTATCCCATCGACTCGTTCTGCTCCTGGAGAACACACCGTAGACTCAGTTTTAGGACCGTTCGTCGGAGAACTCGTTACTCGAGAAAATATCAAGCCATGCATCGAGCTCAGCAAAACTCTTCGCCACTACCCTGTCCTCGAGACAGCTCGCGAACAATTATGGATTTTGGGTACACGAGAAGCGGTGTATATCGATCGGCATCGATCGAGACGATGGATGGAAATAAAAAAAGGAAGCACGCAGCATTTGCGCGCTTTACGTTCGGAAAGTAAGACCTATTGTCCACTAAGGCGTCTCGTCATAGACACATCGGCGTTGCGTACAACATGACAATTACGCTACGCTTGAGTTTCTGTCCACATGAGCGTATTGGAAGCGTATAGAAAGCGGTACAAAAAGCTTGATTTATATGCTGTAATTATATTCGACAGCGTAAAAGTCGGGAAAGATATTGGTCACATCCTTACATAGAAAAGAACATAAATGAACATGTATTTCATTCTTTCTATAGAATGAATAAAAATACGTGTAAGAATTTAATGTGTTTGGCAGCTCCGTTAATCAAAAAACAAGACACTAAAATACGATGTTGTGTTAGCCATGTACACTGACGAGCAAACTCGGCTTCCACTAGGGAAAAAAGTAATGGGAAAGGGCCTCCTACCATTTGGTATTGGGAATTATTGGAATTCATGCCAAATTACCTGGAATAAATTTACCAAGTGGCAGAAAACTTTTTTTCTACGCCGCTTTTTCCCCTAGCGACAGCCAACTTGCTCGTCGGTGTACAAACATGGCTCTTTTTTTCTGTTTTTTTCCATTTTTTTTATATTTCACACTCAAAGACGAATGAAAATTTTGCGTCCTTCTATACGCCCAGCGGGAGACATCGTTGACGACGTTGAAGCGTATGTGGACACACGCCCATTGTTTTACATTGGTCGCTACATGGAAGCGTCCTGCAAGCGTCAAATGTCTATGAAGCGTCTATGACGAGACGCTTTAGTGGACAGTAGGCCTGACGCTTGCAACCTGCTTTATTATTCTATGCGGTATACCAATAATATTCACATTTATTTTTTCTAGTCGAAGATAACGGAATTACGGGTTTATACGTCCCGGAAAAAATTGCTCGACCGATGACGCGGCTCGATACTGTCGGAATCCATGCCCATCGCGTTGCTGCGATCGCAACGGATTTATCGCAGTGCTCGACATTCGATGTTCAGCGAATAATAACAGTGTGATCTTCAGCGGGGATTTAGATAAGAATTTCAAAGTTACTCCCCTCGTGCGCCGAGGAACTACGGACGCGTGCACTTGGTGGTCACGTACCAATAGATAGCCGCTGGATTCGACGCCGACTGCTACCTTTCTCTCCCTCTCACTCTCTTTCTCTCTCCGGCCCCCTCACATTTCCTTATAGACTTTTTTTTTTCCTTTTTTTTTTTCTCCCTCTGTCTCCCAACCCCCGAGAAACGTACACGTTTTCTCGGCAGCTTCGTATTCGAGTTACGTCGATTTCGATCGAAATTTTGAACCTTCTTTGTTCCTGCTCCAACAGACGTGTAAACGTTGCCCCGCGAGAGTCTACGAATTACAGTCGGTGGAAATGATACAGCGAGGTTCTATAGTGGACAGCTGACAAGCGAGTCCAATTCAGTGTTTTGTAAAGGTAATATCAATGATTAATTGCTACGCAATTCCCAGTCGAAAAATTATGGATCTTAGGTAGCGTTTACGATGTTAGATTTTCGTACTGCGGTTAAATGGAATGTGAAGTCGCTAGCTACTACTGTTGAGCAGTCTATGTGTGTGAGAATGTCGGTTTTCGCTCTGTCTCTGTCACACACATAGGCTGCTCAGTGGGGGTGAGCTATCGTTGACACGTTTATGGTCACGGCAGTTAAACGACAAAGCAGGCAGCTTGCCTCTCGACCAGAGTTGGGCAGAAATATCTAAGGGTGTCGTCCTGAGCTTTAAACAGTTAATCAGATTAAATAATTGTTCGAAAAATGTCGATTCATTAGTATAGAAGTATTATGTTATTAGAACAATTGAAATTTCCACGTTTAAATCAATTAAAAATGACGAAATAGTTTTTTTTATCTTTTATTCGTTATTCGAAACTTTTTATCTAGATAATGTGTGCCCATCTCTGCTCTCGACTCTTGCAGCGAGCGATTCACTCTGTATGTATCCCTTCCACTGACTTCACCGTTCGAGGTTCGATCAGCCGCTCGGTCTGACCAAATGTCGGTCTATTCTACTTCCAGTGCCGCAAGGAATCTTCGTGCGTATAGTTCCTCTCCGAGCTATAGTGACTTCGTAAAAACAGTAGGAATTCGGATCTTTCACGCTTTTAAGAGTTTTACAACTCAGGCGTATCGAATGACAGGATTAGATTACCGAAACACATAAACTTTAGGATCAGTCGGGTTTATGGCTAACGTTATATCTTTGAAGAAGCTATGCTATAGCTCGAAGAGGCACTTATACATCGCGTGGACTGTACTGTGTTGTTTTGTGTCGTTTAATGCTGCGAAAGGAATCGTTGGGATTACAGAGAGATCTGTGTGTGTTTTCAAAGAATAATGTATTTTCAATAGGTCAAGGCAGGTAGTTGATGTTTAACGGAACATCGAACCGATACATGTGTGTCGAATGGTAGGCGTGTTGTCGCGACGATGTAAATACTCGGTCACATTTTCACCGCAGATTTTTTCTTTTCTTTAGGCCGGGCAAGAATAATATTCTCGTTTTCTCTCGTAGAAATTTTCGACAGCACTAACGGGGTTATCGATAAACATCACGAACGTTCGATCGATCATCGATGTGAATTGATTACAGCGGTACAAGCTTATCCGTGAAAGATATATTCATGGTAAGGAAACGTTATCGTTTAAACATCAAACGACAACGTGGTGTTTCTTACAATAATAATTAATAGATCGGCGGACCGAGTACTGTTTCGGCTCGGATCGTTTTTATTCGAAATTTCGTTTGGCACACACTCGTGTTTACGGGAGACGGAAATGTTGTGCGGAAATTCTCTTGGTCGGTATTGTGCGATATATGTATATATATATATGGTCGTGTCGCGCAAATACAAACGGAGGTCGTGGGAAGTATTTTTGTTGGTTTTGTACACAGGTCACTCGAGTTATCTTGGCACGTCCAAGAATAAATTGTTATTGCTTTTGGTCGGTGAAACATTAACAACAATAACAAAAATGACGACGACGACGACGACGAGGATGACGACCCTGTTTTGGTAGGATCTCGCGGAGCACGTTTTAGGCCGCGTTCACGCGATCGATCGTTAAGATATCGCGTTCCTCGTGTTTCTGGCGAGACGTGGGCTCGTCGTAGTCGCATACGGTCACCGTGACCACGGGGCAAATGTTCGCCACGCGGTCACTTCGCGCGTGCTATTTACGACCAACGATGGCATTTAGTATTCGTCTCACGGTGCTAACCTCGCCACTCTCCAGCTGGCGAAGATCGTCGGCGTGCTTTTTGCTCGGTTCCGGCATCACGTCGTCCAGTATCTTGAGCTCCCGTTGAGTGAATACCAGGTCCAAGGATTTTCGTATTCCGATCATCACCACTAACTATTGGCAAACGAACGAACCGATTAGTTTAGGACGAGTTTTCTGGACGAAGTTGTCGTTAGATAAAAATAGCTTACCATCAATGGGAAGAGAATGGAAGTGCTGCTGAAAGATTTGATGATCCAGAGGCACGATAGGCAAGTTAGTTGTATCACTGTGAACAGGTGGACACGCTTCAGCGGCACCTGCGTCGAAATAATTATAATTATTATTATTATTATTCGTGTAAATGGTCATTGTCCTTTGGTACAATAGTTTACAATCTTTCTGACTCTCGAGGTGATTTGAAACAAGTTTTTCCTTAACCAAAATGTTATCCGAGGCTTTGTTAACGAGATATTAACGAAAAAGCCCGACCAATCAGAAAGCGAGTCTGCCGGTCGAGTTCCCGCAGTAACGATGGCTACGCGTTGCGATTGGTCGGGGTTTTTCGTTAATATCTCGTTAACAAAGCCTCGGATAAAATTTTCGCCTAGGAAAAACTTGTTTCAAATCACCTCGCATTTTTGTTACACCCTGTACAATGATTGGTAACGATCGTAGAACCAATAACACCGACCCGAATGCTGCCTCGTTGACTATCGTTTACCTGTCGGAGGAACATGTAGTCGGGTTGATATTTGACGGGCATCAGCATGATCAGAATTCTGTCGAAGAACTGAAGGCCTTTCAACGAGGCGACCCCCATGTAGAGGAACACCCCGAACAAAACCGGCATCGGTATGTGCCTCAACATCGGCGTCAAGAGTACCGAGCAGCCGATCATCAGGAAGATCAGAATGTGTGTGACACGTTGCTCCCGAACCCCAAGGAATTGTGGTTTCTCGCCAGGCGCGGCGCATTCCGATTCCAACTTCAACGAGTTCACGTGGTTGATCGAGAGCACTGTCGCCGCCACGAACCACGGTAGCCCCATCACCGAGCAAATCTCGATCAGGATCGCGAGAACAAACAGGTCCAAGTGATACCCGCATCCTTTCTAAATAGAGAAACAAAAAAAACGAACCACGCTAGAAGCCTATCGAGACAGAAAGTTCGATCCAAAATATTTGGACATTCTTGCCTTTAGCTTGTTCTCTTTTCTGTTCACTATCACCGCTGTGATCTGTTGGTCCATGAAAATTAGTATAGTGCCCAGAAGAGCTGGCAGACACGCGACAATGGCGCTCCACCATGGATTATCCTGAAAAGGCCAGATGATCCATCCGCGATTGTGCAACGTCGGCTTGAATTCCTCCGGCACCTCCAGCTTCGGCGTCGGAATATTCACGAAATGATCGAGCGCGCTCATCGAGAAAATCGCGATTATCACCGCGAAGTCACTGACAACCTGTCTGACCTGTGACAATGAAAAAAAAAAAAAGAAAAAATTGTTAAAAACACTGTATTACTGGGAGAGTTTGAATTTCCTGTAACTCGTAACGATATTCCCACCTTCGACGGGAAGAAGAGAGCGTTCTTGAAGTCTTTGAGCTCGACGGATAATAAGAAGGTGCCCATGAATAGAATAATTGACATGAGGAACACATCGGGTATGTGGTGCGGCAGGTTGCAACTGTCGCCCACCATGGTGCCGTTGTAGCTCTGAAAGAAACATTAACGACGTCGTCGCAAGATTAGGGAGGGACACGTTCGAGTTTGTAATCTCGTCGAACGAGTGTCTTGGCCCGTCGCCTTTATTAACCTGGCATGCTTGCTGATCCAACGCCGTCCAATTGACGTTGTCGTAGCTGGATGGCAGGGTGCCGTTCGGCGGATCGCACCAGCACTCGAAATCGAACGAATCCTTCGTGTGGGTGTCGATCGGATACTTCTTGCCAATGGACAACACGTTCTCGATAGCCTGGAACGGGACGAATTCATAAATACCACGAGTATCCTCGAAGATGACGAATTAAATTAATGCTCGAGAGTCTTCGATCAAGCGAATCAGCCACCACGTGGAAATCGAGACCGATCGAAACTTTCGGATTGCGATCTCGAAGCCCGAGAGGAACGCTTCCATTGGACGTGCACACCGGCGATTCGTGACCCAAATGCTATGATTTCGCTGACGAAGCGATTCGAGAAGCACACGATACGTTACACGCCCGCCATCCAATTAACTTGGATCGGCCGTGAAGGACACGGTTGCATAATTAACGTGCACGAGGACGACGCGAATAAATCCTCTGTCGGGGTTATCCTCGAGATCGGCGTGGCTCGCTCGATGAATCCCGTCGTACCTTGTAGATGAAGATGAAAGCGATTAGGGTAGCAAAATTCTCTTCGGTGAATCGCGTGATGTAGCAGACCAGGGCGCTGGCGTCGATCGCGACTAGGATCACCAGAATCAAGGTTATCCACGAGCCGATCCAGAAACGGAAGGACATGTAGTTCCATTCGGATTTTCTGCGAAAGCAATCAGTAGACTTCGGATTTTAGGTATTTCTAACTTATTGGGTCCCTAGCAACAGGGACGTTGTTTTTTAATAGGGGCAATTTTTGATGCGGTGACCGTTTTTTGTCATTCTGGTGTCTTCAATTTTAATTGAAAATAGCATAGAAATAATTAAAATCCACTGTGATAGGCAGTTTTCACTCACTTGCAGAATTCGTAAACGATCGTTTCGAAGACCAGAACGGGACCGGTCGAGCCGAGAATGGTCAACGGTTGCCCCGAGAAAAATCCGTAGCCGATGCCGCAAACGAAACCAGAAACGAGCGACTCCATGGCGGCCATATTCTTTCCCGTGGCTTCGCCCAGCAATCCACCGAACGTGATTATGGGCGAGAGACAGGCAAAGTACAGAAATATGAAGGACGCTATGCATTGGATGGCCAGAGCGTCTTTGAAGTCGGACAAGTAAACCGGCACTTTTCTTTTGATGTCGTTGATCAGACCCCCGAAAAGTATTCCTGTCCTCGACAGGCCGGATTCTTCTCTGAGCTTCTGCTCGTCCTCTTCTTCGTCCATTTCGTCCTTCGGTTTCTCTTCTTTCGGCCGCTTTCTCACTTCCTGAAACGAGCGAAACGAGGAAATGCGTTCAGGCGAGAACCGCGAGTGCAGTTTTCGGCGAATGTATAATAATGGAGGGTTCAGAAGCAGGGACTTCTACCGAAACGTAAAATACCGGTATTATACCGGTATTTTTAAGTTTTCTAAATTTCTATATTTTTGAAATTTTCTAAATTCCATTTCAAATGTTTTCTATTCACTATTGGTGAGTGTATAATAAATACATTTACTGTAGTCTTGGGTATATTGCTATTATATTCCCATCACGTGTAATCAAAAGTTACTACCTATCGACAGACGAAGAGTTTCTGAAGTATATATTTTTATATACAAGTTCATATTATGTTAAATAATCCAGCCTTTTTGTGAGGTACCTGTCCTAGTGAAACTGTTAAAAGTTCAATTTTAAACACCACCAAAATGTACATCACACTATACCTGCGAGGGAATCGCGGCTGGTGGTTCTATTCTGATCGCGGGATCCCATTCGCCGGGCGGTAGAACCGTGACTGCGTCCAAGAACTCGTCGATTCCAGCGAGCAGGTGATTCCTATTCTTAGCTTTGTACGCCACGTCGTGGAACACCTCGTCCGACATCAGAGTGGCCATGGCGCGACCGATCTCGTGAAAACCGGAGATTCCTCCCTGCGACGTCGACGAAATTTCATGAACAATATTCTGGCTGAATCACGCGAGCATTTAATTTTGATCGAACGGGCGAAAAGATTGCCGGAATGAATGAAATATTCGCGACGAATCATCGAAGAGGAAACGAAGAACGATGTTGAACGATAACGAAGTCTCCATTCATACACGGTGAGAAATTTATTCCGTGTGTCGGACTCTCGAGACCGAGAAGAGACGAGGCAATCAGCGTGGACAATTGCTTCGTTAAAACTTTAATTACCCCGAACGGGGAGAACGAGAAGGACTTTCGGTGATAGGCGATCAGAATCGATTTTCGAATCCACGGTCGACCGATGTTCGTCCCGTCTTACCGTTGGTCCCAGCAAGACGAATATGAATCTCGTCGGGACAGGAACTTCCGTCAGATCGCCCATCATCGCGGCTTGGCTCAGTCGTATAAAGGCTGACAATGTTTTATCTAAAAAATCCACCTCCCCTACGAGAATGTTGCTCGCCTCGGCTCCCGCTGGTATTTTCCGCATAAAGTGCGTGTTACCCTAAACGAGGGAAAAAGATCATCGAGAAATGCAAAAGGGTGACCAGTATTCCGAAATATCTCGTAAGATGTTTCGTTACGAACCCTGTGATTCACGTCTCCGTTCTCCAATGCGGACGAACTGTGATTCCGGCTGATCGACACGTTGCTGGGACTTCGATCCATTCCATTGGTGGACGGTTCTTGTCCTGAAAGAGACTTCTAGCTTACCGCCTACTGCGTATTTTCGAGGCTGAATCGCGACGAGAAGTCGCGTGGGAATCACCGTAATTGAGGGGACACGCATAGTTTTTCGCTTCCCCTCAATTACCACTTCTATCCAGGCCCATTAATGGCGAGATAGTCGTGACCCAGATTTCGCGGTGTCGAAAGTTTCCGAGTTGCGGGAATCCGATACAAGGGTTTCCGCGGGTCGAAGGGGAAGTCTTATAACCGGATCCACTTAAACGCAACACCGAATGCAGGCGGAGATTTCAATTTTCTATGGCAGAAATAGAAATTTCACGAATGTCCTCGGTGGTTCGAGCTAACCGGCCACGAGAACGCGACGTTTCCGATTGGACGAGAAACCTGTAATCTTCTCGTTGAGCTCTTAACCGAGGTGTCTGGTCTGGTTCGTTAAATGTCAAAAGTGTGTCCGTAAATTTATCTCTTTAAATTGGGATCATCAGGAGGTATTACGCGTTCGATCCACGACGAAGATTGCGGTCTCGAAAACACTGTTCAAGAAAATTCTGAAAATTCTAAAATAGTGGAGTGAAACTGGCTTTATTTACTTGATTTTTAATCGCCGAATATAATAGTTATCTCACTTTTCACACACGTATGGATTTGTTTTTTTTAATTTAATTCTAATGTGGTGTAACTGGTGGTACAACCAGGTAGGGGATGATTCTACGTGGAAAAATAAGTCGGAAATGTACAATAAAATTCTTTCATTTACGACTTCGTTTTCGAGAAAGTCAACTTCGAAAATGAATCTGAAACGCGTTATTCGTGCAGCAAGTAGAAACGGAATGCAATGAACAGACACGCTAGCCAGGTACTATTCAATTACACGCGTATCCAGCAGTACTTTAATTTTAAAAAGACTGCGACGTTCAAGCACAAAAAACCAGGTTTAGGGACTTGTTGAACAGTGTAATCGTTTGTCAATACACACGCGTGTATTATTTTAATCTTCCTGTGTTTCTCGACGCGACACATTCGTTTGGATCAAGATTCGGGCAACTCGTGATACTTTCGCCGCTCTGCAGTGCGCGAGTTCACCGTTCGGGGATAATATTCCACGATCTTTTTTCGATTGCTTTTCACATTCCATCCTGTTCCACGTATATTTTTCCCCGAACGTTGTTTCTGCGTGGCGATGAATGAAGCGCGCGTACGTGTATCGTGTTCTTTGTTTTCTAGGAGAAATCTACGTGACGACAAAAAGGTATCGCGAGACGTGTGACGATGTGATGATGCAAGCATAATAGAGAAGCAGTTTTATCGGGTTTACCGGGTATGGCAAGGAAGCGGCTACCGGGATTCAGCGTTGCCCCGCTCCCGTGAGTCGTAGCGCCGGCGATCGCCGGGGCGGAATTCGATTCCTCCACTAAAAATGAGCATGAAACACACACCAGGACAAACCCTTTATTTACAGAGGAAGGAATCGAGGGTATAGGCTCCGTGTGCCCTGTGTTATTATCGTTAGCATAGTCGGAGATTGTTAGTACCACACGTAGAGGAAGAAGGAAATCGGTCGGTACACTGAAAATCACAGATGTTAGTTGAATGTGTGACGGTTAATATATACGATATCGAGTATACAAAGTACAGATCGAGTCACGTGCAAGTCATACAATTAGATCATGCCTCGTGGAATGGGCCTGTAAATATTATTCGCCTATGCGGTCTCACGATCGTGCACGCGAAAATCGATTGTGGAAGAGCTGCAATTTGTTCGTCTTCCTTTAAGGAGGGAGCCTGCTGTAAACGGGCTGAACATAATCCTTAAGAACATAAATCCTTATAACAATAATATTTATGAATTTTTCGTGAAAATTAAAACTTTTATATTCAGTTTAATTGTCCAATAAAGTATTCTCAAAGTTTCCAAGAGATTGGTTTAACAATTTCTTCACAAGAAATTCCCAAAAATTCGTTCATTTTTAGCCGTTCACACGAAACTCCCCCTTTAAACTGCACGCGACGCTCGTTACCGACGATTTGTGACAGGAAGCCGTAGAAAAACTGTAAACGTTCGGACGTTGTTCGGGAGAACAGTTCTGTTTCGTTACTGTAACAGTGACGGATAAGTAAACGTGATCGCTGAAGTGGAGAAACAACCCACGGAAATCACTTAAATACCTACTCGTACCGAAGGGAGAGCGTTGCGGTCGCAGTAGCGACGGTCGATATTGATCAGACACAAGCTAACCGAATCACGTGTGTAATTATACTTTCATTAATTCCGCGCATATTATGGGTTAATCGATACACTCGATGAACCGTTCGTTACGAGTCGAGGGCTCGTAACAGTTCCGCGAGTGTAATGAGAATACTCGTTCTTCCTCAATGCTGATTTGCGAAACAGATGCTGTGATCGATCGGAGCTCCGTGCAGTGCTCAGCTACTGTAAACACCGAGGAAACCGCAAAAGAGAGGAACAATGATAGGAGACACAATATAATCAATTAAACTGACATATTTTATAATAACAAGTAGTTGCAGTTCTATATACAGGGTGCGGCCGAATAACCATATACAAGCGGGTACTACATGATTCCTTGTGAAAAAATAAAAACAAAGTATGCAATAAAATTCGTTCATTTAAGGCTTGCTTTTCGAGAAAATCGACTTCGAAAATTAATTCGAACCACGTGTATTCACTATAGTAATAAGTAGAAACAGATTGCAATGAACAGACGAGCTAGCCCAGTTCTATTCGATTGCCCCCGTATCTATCAGATTTGCAAAGTCGATTTTCTCGAAAACTAAGCCTTAAATGAACAAATTTTATTCCATATTTTGTTCTTAGTTTCTCATAAGGAATCACCTCGTACCTTCTTGTACATCTAATTCGGCCGCACTCTGCATGTAAAGAAAAAGTGTGAGAGAACCACGAAATAAACGAGAGAACAAAAATACACGGACATTGTGCAATCGATTGAAAAAAATTCATGGCAACAATAACCAGCTGACCGTCTAACCTTTTAGCTGACACATCGCGAACCACGTCGTGAATCCGACCACGTGCGGAACAGCGTATTCGTCTGACAGAAACACAAGAAAGCAAACGTGAATGCACGTGGCGTTCGATCGGAGGCAATCGAACTCGATATCGGCTGATTCGCAGGGATTGATGGCATATCGGTTTATGAAAAGGGGTCGGTAATTATTCAGTAATTAGTTGTCAAGGTCAACATTCTGAACAACTCTATATGGGATATAGTTTGCGAAAAAATATCTCACAGGTATTTTTTTACATCGGCCATCGTCCATATTGAAGGGATGAAAACAGCCTTGAAAATTGGGGATTGAAAACATATTTTTTGGAATATCTCGGAAACGAAGCCCAAGTGGTGGTAACATGTATAAGGAAAAGTTGTTCAGAATAATTACCTTGACAACATATTTCAAGGTCAACCAAAAACAATTAAGGAGGAATCTAACGCGAGTTCGTCTACAGAGTTTTAGCGGGACGCATCGAGCGAAATCGTTTCGTTTGCACGAGGAGACCAGCCGTTGGATCTGACGTATTTAAAGCTCGCGAAAGCGCGCACCGTGAACCCAAGCAGGAACGATCCAAGCTGTGATTTGGCGGTTCTGGCCTACGTTTATACCTGGAACCAGAAGGTACGGTCCTTTCAGATCTTTCGCTTCTCTCGACAGCAAAGCCGTGTTCGAATTCGGGCAGCTGCTGCTGCGAGCGACCGAGGGCGCGTAAGCGTCCCCAGCGTCGCCGCGACGCTCCTGTAAATCTGACGTCAACAACGCATGCAAACCACATGTACAGGAGAAATCTGAAAATTGTCGAGCGTGTTTCGCACGCGTTTAGCGTGGCATGTCGAGTTAAGGTCCGATTACCGGCGGGTGTATGTGTCTAGCCTATTGCGCCCTGCGCGGCCACCCGTGGCTCTCGGGTAATTACGATCGTCACGTGTGTGTCCAATCGAATAGAAACAAATAAATGATAAAAAAAAAGAAATCTCGAAACAGCAACAGTTTACAGAAGAGCTGTAGCGGATCTGTTTCTTTTTTATACAAAAAATTATTAAAGGTCGAACAAATAATACAAAGATCACGGCACTAATAAATCGCAATGCTCCTGCCCGATCAGTGCTCTCCCACTTTTTAGACCTTCACCATACACGTCCAGATTTAAGAATACCGACCCAATAAACAGAATTTGTATGCAAGCGAACAATTATGGCAAACAAGTTAATTTTTTGGCTGTGCACCCAAGCGTATTCAAAAGTGAACAGTTCGTTAGTAATGTTTTGTAATTCAATGGGCTTTCGTCCCGTGGAAATAAATAATTATATTTTAAAAGAACAATAATTTAAATTAAAGTAAACTAAATGAAATTAAATTAAATTCAATTAACAATTGGTTTGTTGTATCGGTACGCGTTTCTGCGTGTTCGGTAGACGTCGACATTGTTCCGGGCAGCTTCGATTTGTCTGCGGCCAAAATGCGTTTGTCGTCGCTCGATCGATTGGCATCGAACAACTACTCTGTACGAGGTTACTTATAATTCGAGTGTGTAACGTTGACAAACTTACTCTTCGACGAGGAATGATTCCGTCCGATCTCGGCCAACGATCTTATGATCGGCAGTCTGGACATGTTGTTGTCCTTCCGTCTCTCGTGTTGATGTCGATGTCTCACGAGAAGAGCTTCCCTGACCTGCAATCGAGAAAACTTGTTCGTTGGTGCATTTGCTACTCCAAACTGACTTTCTCTGTTTGCTCGGACTGATTCACTCTTCTATCTACCAGGGACTTCTATCGAAACGTAAAATACTGGTATTTACGTAACCCTACCCTTATAGAAACCGAAAAATACCGATATTTCCCTAGTAGCATTTATGGTTGGCCAACGGTATCCAACACTTGGGAGTTAGTTAGGATATAGTTAGTGTTTCTGCCTACAAATTCCCAAAATAGGGCCTACGACGAAAAAGTTATGACAATTTTCCAACGAATATCCAATGTTGGGTGATGAATTGGGGAAAGAATCCAATGAAAGGTGAAAGGTAATTTTTACTAGGGTTATTTCGATTTTCAATATAATATAATATATTTTCATTATAATATAACCGGTATCAAAATCATACAGGTTTAAGTCTTTGCTATTTACCTTTTCTTTGGCCTCGATCGGCAGCGAGCCCTTGTTGATCATATTGTCGAGGACCAGATCGGCGACTTGCTCGAGACTGATCGCCTCCATGTCGAGCATCACGGTGCCGTTCAACAGCAGGCTCCTCAGCTCGAACAACGAGTGCAACGAAAGGGTCGCTACGTGAGGTTTGCTCCATCTGTTTCCGCCCTCCTCGACGTCTTCCTCGAATTTGATCCATCTAGGAAACATTTCGAGGCAATAGGGAGGGGATAGGGCCGTTGTTGTTAATTCATGCATCGAGGGAGAACAGACGGCAACGGGGGTGTAGAATTACCTCGCGGTTTCCTTCCACTCCATCTCGTCCCCATCCTTGACGAGCTCCTCCATCTCGGAGAAAAGAGGATGGGAGACGTGAGCATCGTCCCCGACTTCCTCGCCCAGGATGAACTGCACCCTTTGGGCCGGCGGTGTGACTAGAATTTTCATACGGAAACCCCGTGAAACATCATTCCTACCGTCTAAATCGTATGTAGATAAAAAGACATTGAAGTATACGAAAAATATATCGATGCAGAAGAGAGAAAAGTGAATACGTGTCGCGAAACAGCGAATCAAAAGAGCGCACTTCGTTTTTTCGTCGTGATACTCGTCGCGATAAATTTCAGGCGATCAGCGTGCACGTGCACGTGTATATTCTGCAAGTGTAACGAGGTGAAAAAACATGTTTCGGGACTGCTGAAAAGCTCGGTCTCCGCAGATAAACTGTGGGGATAGTGTGTCGTGTGCGTACAATCGGACGATCGGTACCAGCAACAAAAAGATTGAAAAACTGATGTTGGATCGACGGAAATCACTGCTGAAGATCGAATGGTTTGCGAGTCGTAATGAAACATCGACCGAGCGGTGCAGGGAGCGTTCGTGGAACATCATTGCACGCGTGATTTACCAATGACGCATGCAGTATGTCCGAGAAGAGTATCGAGAAACATCCAGATACATGAAGACGGGAAACGTTTAGTTGTAGTTTCTTTTTGTTTTGTTTTTTTGTCTATATTTCTATGTCTATGGTCAGAAGCTGCTCGATCGTGCGGCGTGAAACGTGGAATTATCGTGTGTATCGAAAAACAGTTTCTCGAGACCATTCGTAATATAGGCGGCGTACGCTCCAAACATGGCGGCAGTCGCGAATAATTTCTGCGGGCGAGGAACATCTTTCGAACCCATAGACGTATAATACCTATCCGGGCATTTGGCCGATATTCTGTAAAATTTTTTTTTAGATATCAAGATCACCTTTATTTAAAATGAAATCACCCTTTACTTCGTGACCTTGAATGACCTTGAATAATTATAATCACTGAATTCCTAATGAAAGGAAGTATCATTGTAGGTGTCTAAGAAAAGGTGATTCCGTTTAAAAAAATGAAGGTGACCTTGAGATCTCTAAAATAAATGACATAAAAATAAAAATTTTTTCTGCTATCGTGTGAGTCCCATTGAACCATTTAACTTTGTCCTTAAGACATTTAATATATCTTTTAAAACAACAAAGATATTTGAGGTGCAAAAGTTAGGTGATTCATCCGATATACATATGTATATCTATTTAATTTTCTTTCCTTCTTATTAGTCTTTCTAATTTCTTATCCCAATTCTGTACTCCTTCTCTCCCTCTCTTTCTTCCTCTGTGGTCTAGATATTACACGTCTATGGTTCGAACCCGAAGAGGTGTTTTCAGCCGGTGGCGAAACATTAGGCACGCGATGGTAATCCGCTTTGACGCAACCGCCTCGCATCGACAAACGCAATTTTCTTTATGTAACGATGATAAACCAGTTAATGAGACGTTCGGGCAGCCGTACACAAAGCGATCCGCTCCGATAAATATTATTGATCTTCCACGTCGAAACGTGTCGGCGCGATGGCGCGAGTTTCCGGCGAAACGCGTCTCGATCATTCGTTCGCTCGCATAATCGGTGTAATCGAATGTTAATTACTGTTCGTGTGAAATTAATGTAACGATCGTGACATCATTGCCGTGTAACACGCAAACGAACCGACGTTAGAGGATCGAGTGTCCTCGTCTACGAGACGAGGTAACATCGACGTGTCGCGAGCCGCCTTCGTTTTTATTGTCCCGTACGAATGGTCTCTCGATCAATGTATACGTAAAATACAGAGAAGTCTGGAGCTTATTGAGGCTTACGTATCATCTCGCTGTCGGGCTCGCAGATGCTAGATAGTCGACTCCTTCGAGTCATCAGCAATTGTCCTGAAACGTCAAGGAGACAAGAACACGTCGGGGGATAGTTCGCTGGTGAAATCGATTTCGAGTTCTCCGCTCTCACGACCGTTCTCCCGGAATTAACGAATTCACGTTTCCTCCTCGGGGCACCCCTGCAGGCCCAGATTAAGATTTTTCACGGCTCAGGGAATTTCGAACCTTCGAGAGCCTCTTAAAATCGGGGGTAAAAAATGTTTATAATGAAACTTACAGTAAAAAACATAAATCTTAAAAAAATTGAAATTTATCCTAAATAAGATTAACTGACATTTAATTCATTCAATTATTTTTTGACATAAACTGAAGGTTTAATTCGGCCTTTCCTCCCTTAATCCGGCGCTGCACCCCTGGCGTTCTCGAATTAACGAGAGATCGCTCGATTGACGTCTGACCGAAAGCTCGACGTAAATAGCTTCCGTTTGGACGAAATGTAAAGGTATCGATTGAGGCTCGCGTGGATGGAGACACGATGGGTAGAGAGTGCATCCCGTGCACCAAACCTGTCGTATGTACAGTCGTCGCGGAAAATGAGTTAACAAGCAATCTTCTTTAACCCCTTGCCTTATAACATCGAGTCAGAGACACGTGGTGATGATATAAAAATAGATTCAAGGAACAGAAATATTATTCGTTTTGTAGTATTTAACTTTTAGAGAATTATTGATGATAAAGTAATTCTAGAGAGTGCAGATATCAAGAAAATCATAGGGCAGGAGGTTAATATAATATTTTTCCAAAATGTTGAATAGTGAATCCCCAATAAATGACAAAGGAAACACAAGACGGCTCTGTCTCAGCGATACGACAGTATCTCGACGTTCATCGTTCCTTTTCGACAGTTTACTAGGAGCGTTAACTTAGTTTCCGAGGCGACTGCACATGCTCGACGCGATACGAACTTTTGGTCATTGTTGATAGACATTAAATGAACGCAGCAACCGCGTACTGATGGACTGATATTAACCACAGGTGGGTTGATATTAACCCTTGTATGGGCAACGAAAATATTCACAATTATTGAGCAATCGGAATACACCTATTCTGACAGATTAGATAAATATAGATAAACGTAGATAATTTAACTTTCATACTTTTCCCAAACTCCTAGTTTTCCTTTCCTATAATATATCAAGTACTGTTTTACATAAGACCATAAAAAATTGTGAAAGGAAATTTAGAAATGCATACCTGGATACACGGTTGCCTACACAAGGGTTAAAATGGACCGGACCTACGTTCAAGCAGATTTTATTCCGTAATTAAATACTTCCCGCAGTAAACGTTTTGTCTCGACGGTCTCAAACAGTAGGATCGATCGTGTGCAGTCTACGTAGATGTCGCAGAATCGCTTTGCTCGTGGTATTCCCACCGAAATTCTTGGACCAGTGACACCGAAATGTCAATCCCTCGACATTCGAACGCACAGGATAAACGTTTTTCTTGTGCATTTAAAAATGAAACTAAAAAGACGAGATTCAAGGATCGTAGGGGAACGTGAAGGGAGGCTGGTCGTTATCGTCTCGGGTAGGGAAAACGGGACAGACCCTTCACGAGATTCGATATCGGTCACCGACTTCTACCCAGTGTGCCAGAAGTAGGGTGAACAACCGGCCAAGTCCTGACAAGTGGTTGGCTCGGTGCCACACACCGCTCGATAGCGTCGGGAAACTGCAACACACCGTGGAACGTTTGCGTGCGATACCTCGTCGACGACACGTTTCAGGTATCTAATGGAAATCAGCTAAACGACGCACGGTCGTTGTCATCGGAACCGTTGCAGTCTCTCTGGGAACTCTGTCCGCTCCATAAATGTACACCCACGAGCAAACTCGGCTTTCACTAGGGGGAAAAAGGGCGTAGAAGAAAACTCTTCTACTACTTGATAAATTTATCTTAGGTATGGGAATAAATGTTAAGTTAAATATTAATTTGGCATAAATTTCAGTAACTCCCGATACTAAATTTTAGGAGGCCCTTCTCCAACACCACTTTTTCCCCTAGAGAAAGCCAAGTTTGCTCGTCGGTGTACAAACTTTAATTCTTGATGAATGATTACGAAAACGTAAATTTCTTTCAAATATTCCAGTCTTCCGTTTTATTCCTTGGAATCTCATAGCTGAAAGTGGCATACGACCCTGAGTACAGTGGGACACAATGGGCCCCCGATGATCGAGTACTAATGGTTTAAGGGTCGGCCACGTTTACAGCTAACGTTATATCTTTGAAGCAGTTATACCTTCGTCGACGTCAGGGAACTTTGTTTCTCGTATGCGACAATAATTTGTGCCAGAATCAAAGACCCTTCTCAGCGAGCATAGGTATTGTTTAGCTCATTCCACAACTGTCGAACACCGAGTCTTTGGCCTCGGCGACTTAGCATCCCTTTCCGTCGTCGGATGAAGTGGATCCTTTCGAAGTCTCGCGAGAGAGAGAGAGAGAGAGAGAGAGAGAGAGAGAGAGAGAGAGAGAGCGATTAGCCGTACTCGATGTTGAAGCTCGACTTCTATTCAAGCTTGGAAACTCGTGACCTAAAAGAGCTGTTCCCCTCTTTTATATATTCGTGGACGTAATCGATTCGAGGAGAATATTCCACCGTAACGATTTAAAGAGCTCCGAAACCAACGAATTTCTCCGTCACTGATCCACGAAGAAAAAAACTTCCAAGGGTGAATTCTCCGTGACAGAAATTTACGATTTAGAAGGCACTGCTTGAGGGAGGTTTGCTCGGCGGGGAAACCACGATCGGCGTGGTGGGACGGGTCTGCGACGAGGGAAAAGATCGAAGAACACGGAGAAATATATTCACAAGACGAACTTACTGGGCCTGTCATTGTCGACGTTCTCCTTATCGGCGGCGTACGACTGACGCTGGGAATGATGGTGCTTGTGGTGACGGCGATGTCTCCTCTCACCTGGCAGATGCACGCCCACGTAGACGGTGTGCGCTCTGTGACCTGGAAGCAGATGAAAGAATGGTCGCGTCAGTGACTCTCGAATCGACGTTCCATTGGTACCCGACCGATTATCGATAATAAAGAATCCTCTCGCTCGGGCCACGATTTTCATCCCCCGATTTATCTCGAGAACTCGCGGCGGCGAATGTTTCCGGTATCGATATTTGATCGTCGAGGCATCTCGATATCGACGATTGCTTCGGCAATTTTACGCTTTCGTCCTCGACGTGGAAAGCCTTTAAACGCGTACAAGGGGAATCGAATCGATCGAAACAGACTTAACGTCGTGATCACCATCCCGACATTGGTTTTTCGTGGACTTTAGGTCGATTCATTAAACACCTACGTCGCGTACGTTTACGATAATATCATCGATCCAGAGTCTCGCTGGAACGTCGACGGTTCAAGATCGCAACCGGGACAGGTGACCTCGGATCCAGCAGCTCGATACGGACGAGGTTCGCGATTTTTTTGTTCAGACGCGAATTAATGATTTTCGAAGCACCATCGACGCGTCACGTCGTGGTGTGACACTCTGACGCGAACAGTGGGTGCATGTGTGGGCAAACATCGAAGCCCTGGATTCGTGTATTCGACTAATCCACGGACAAGCTGGAATCGGAGTTGGGCGAAATGTAATCTAATTAGAAAATCTAAATTGCAATTAGAATGTAATTGCGGGAAAATTTCAATTACTGTTACATTGATAATTTTTATTTGAAATTCAGTATAGTTAATTACACTGTATTTGTGATTTTAGTTGTCTTGCAATTACATTGTAATTGTGATTTTAATTGTCTTGCAATTACATTGTAATTGTGATTTGGATTTTGTGATTAGATTACATTTTGCCCAGCTTTGACTGGCATCATCGCCGGCGATTCCATTGACTAAAAAGAGCGTATGGACACGGAGTGTTTTGCTCGGCGAGCGAAGGTCGTCGAAGAACGATCGAGCTGCCGAGAGGAATATCTACACTGGCCAAAATTTCTATAATGTCACCATGTTTTTTGATGAATTCTTGTAATTATTCGATACCAGTGAGAAATTTGTGTTTGGTAGCATTTTGGGATTAATTAAAGAAAGCGTACACATCGGTTTCAAGAAATAAATAAAAAGAAACAGAAATATAATTCAACAATATAAATATAGAAACAGTGAAAAACAATTGTTAATATAATTATACAAATTTCGCAGTTTGTTTTCCGTTGAACTATATTTTTGTCTGTTTTTTAAAATAAATGTTATATTTATTTTTGTCTAATAAATCCCAAAATGCTACCAAATCCAAATTTTCCATTGGTATGAAATAATTATACGAATTCATAAAAAAACATGGTGATTTTATAGATATTTCGGCCAGTGTAGTCCCGTGATACGGTGCAGAGCGAATGAAATAGCGATACCTTCGTAGTCTTTCTCGGTGTAAGACTGATGAGTGATCCGAACACCGGGATCTTTCGGAGCCTCGTCGTCACCTGTCCCACCTGCGTGGGCCGCGCCACCTCCGATTCCAATACCCGGCTGCATCCACGGTCTAAAAAATAAATCGTACGAACACGTGAAACGGGGTCGAATTGTAACTGGCGTACAGAAAAAGACTTGATTAAAAAGCACGCCGTCCCCGTGGCCCGCGGATCGTCTCGCCTCGGTTTTGCGTAACGTTCGCATCGACGATCTGCGATCCCGCCCCCTCATCGTTATTAAACGCCTTCTAATGCGTTCTCGAAACGATTCCGTTGCTCGAACGATTAACAATTATAATAATAATTATTAACTGCGACGACCCGAAAAGTACAGGTATCTTTGGTAATTTATTAAAAGAAAACTACTTAATGAATCTTTTTCACATTTTCAGAGGTTTTTAGTGAACGTATAAGCTTTAAGAACAGATTTTTGTTTACTTGATTTGTAAAAATTACAGTAATTGTCCCACGTTAATCGATCGCGATTTCGTCTCGTCGACCGTTCCGAGAGTCTCGAGCGGCGGACAGTTTCCGGTCAGAGTTGGCCCCGAACGTAAATTGCTTCCTTGAATCCTCGTGGTCTTTTCGCCGCGACGTTTATCAACGAAGAATGCGCGTGGGATCACGGAATAATTCGTGGGACGGTTCGTTCGCGATAGCCCGGCGGCGACGAGCACGCGATTTTATAATAATTAAACTTCCTTCGACAGGAAGGGCTTTGTTCGTAGCCGCCCGCTGCCCTGAATGCGTTCACGCTCTCTATGTGTCCGTCCTTTTCCCCCGTACTTCCCACCAATTTCTTCTTCACGTTCGTTTTCGATTCGATCGAACGATTTCGAATTTCTCGAATATTCAAACGAGTACTCACGACGACACGTTCCCTTCGAACCATTTTTTGCGGTTCATATTTTTCGTGATGCTTCGAATGCTGTTCGATAACACTGGACCAGACTGTCCCGCGACGACAACAGAATTCAGTCCGTGAAACGTCGGAAAATCGACTTCAACCTCTTGTAAACACCGGTTATATTATAGCGTAACGGTGGGCGTACAACACGAAAATAAGTTACATCCGGAGGTACAAAGAAACTTCTTATTCTCGAGTACACACCACTAACGAGCGAACAATTAACACCCAGATACCGAACTTCGCGACGCTTCGGTGAACTCAAAGGTAATCCCGTAATGCGCAGAGACGATCGAGATACGCGATGATCGGCCGTCACGTGTCGCGCGAGTAATCGGCGACCGTCCGTAATCGTGGGCACCGCCACGATTATTACGCCGAACCAGATTTGCACGTCGCGGCACAGATGTATCTCGCGTAATAAAGGTTCGTAAATGCGCCAATCTTTCGTTCGGTGCCCAAGCACTTCGCCGTGGCTGATACAGGTGGAGGGGAAACGGACAGCTATGACGACGCGTGAATTTTACGGGAGCCTGCGTCGCCGATCGTGTCTCTGTTGCCAAACATCGGGTTCATCCCTTGATCCACGATTGAAAAACTGTTTTCGGGACTGGAAATCGTTATGGAATTTGTTACTTCGTTGCTTGGATCACACGGGGCTTTCGTGACGCTGTAATTTAACCCTCATCCGTCCCTGTTTATCTTAATTTTCCCCTCGGTGTTAAATTTACATATTGTGTATTAATTAGTATAATTAATATATTGAAGAGATAAGTGAAATTTGTAAATTCTTTAAACTAAAAGTCACGGAGCCTCAGGTAAATTTACCTACGTATGATCAGTTGTTCAGTAATTATGAGCAAACGTGACGAAAGCGTTTTCGTAAACGTTGATCGCGTTGCTTTATTTCGCTGGCTGTGTAACGAAACTATCCGAAACCTTTGGAACAACGAAAATCGCGGAAGGGAGCCTCCCTCCATATAACCGTCCATTGGAATCGTGGCCGATTGTCAGAATGTCAAGATCGTGACAGACGTCGAATAGTTGGCCAGCGATTACCAGCCGTCAAGTGGATAATTACCCTGCTATGATTATCCGAGTGCTCCCTATGTGTACGTGGTTTTACATAATGAACTACCAGCTCGTCCGGCGCTCGGGCACAAAGGGAGGAGAGTGGCGTAATAAACAAGGGGAGACACGATAATTGTTTAATTGTCGGAGGTCACCGGGTGTCCGTCGATACGAAAGGACACGTATAACTATGTCCCGAGACGACCAAGAGCTGTCACTCTTATCTTCGATCAGATTCATTTCTTGCAAAAGTTTTATTGTTCAAAATGAACAAAAACCATCGCTGGAGATTCCCACGAGACGCAGAAAGAGAGAGGGACAGGCGCACGAAATTTGCCATTATCGTCCGGCATGGAGGTCGGCCGGTTAGGTCGGCCAATGAGTGCATTAACAAGCCACAACAACGTCGAATGAAAAAGTCCTTGTGATACAGCATTTTTTGTAGTTCGAGCAACGAGCGCATCGTTCACGCGCGGGCGGCAAAGTTGTCCCACTCCGGTGCTTATAATTGAAACGTAAAAGTATAATGAATGATACGACCGCTGGTCACTGCAATCGTACCGTCCCGTCCCGTCGTCGTTGTAGTTCAGACACGCGAACCGTTATCGCTCGACAAAGATTCGTGTTCGTAATTTTTTCGTCTCTCGAGCTTAATAAAATTGACATGTTAGTTACGGATGGGAACGGTAGTTCCCATGGGCGTAGCCAGGTTATCAGTCACGGGGGTGAAAATATTAACACATCGACTGCCACAGTGAAAAAGGCTTCACGTAACCAGACACACTTTAGTTAGTTTTGTAATCTATCGGATAACACGTATAGCTGCTTTAAAGATATAGCGTTAGCCATAAACTTGACCGACTATAAAGTTTATGTGTTTCGGTAGCTTAATCCTGTCACTCGATACCCTTGAGTTATAAAAACGGTGCTCGACCATCGTTCAGAGACGTACGACGTCAATTTTTTTATCGGTTTTTCCGTGTTAATGCAATTGAACAAAGTCTTATTGCGTACTAATTTCAGATTTAAAATACTTCTAGCCCTTTGATTCTCTATGAAACCTTACAAACACGTAAATTTCTTTCAAACACTCGAGTTTTTTCGTTTTATTCTTTAGAACCCTATAGCTGAAAGTGGCCTACGACTAATGGTTAAAGGTCGGCCACGTTTATGGCTAACAATATATTAAAAAATCATCGAAATCGGCGAGGAAGTAGTGATTCGCCAAGTTGACCGAGTAAACGATTCGCGAGTCGAGCCAGCCCACGATTTAAAACCTTGACAAGAGGCGTAGGAAATTATACTTGGTTCAGCGACAAAGAACCGCGTTGCCTCGGGTCTAATTTCGCGGAGTTACCTGCGAAATCGAGCCAACTATAAAGTCGACCTCGACCTGCTTCCGGTATTCCGGAGGATTCATCGATTCTACCGTCGACCAGTTTCTCGGCAGCTTCGGATTACGCTTCACGGCCTCGTTAATCTTCTTTGCATTCGATCCAACGCTCGCGATAGACTTCCGTCAGGCGTTTCAAAGTGTAGTTTTTCAAGTCAGCTACCTCTTATCTTTGGCCCATTCTTAGGGCCCCGTTAACGGTCGCTTTAGTCTACTTTCCAGCGTTTAGAAATCGAGAACAACGTTTAACCGACGTAAAGTTTCGATCGACGGTAAGATCATGATTCATCGCGAGATAAACGGAACCTATCGGTGTATAAATTCTTTCCTTATCCGAGCAACGCGCACGGTATTTAGCATGAAACTCGCCTACACGTGTGCGGTATTACTAGCCGTTAAGGACAAAGTTTCCGTAACGATCTAGGATCTACTGGAAATTCTGCGCCGATGCTCGGGGGAACTGAGGTCGAACTGGCGTTAAAACAGTCAAAGTTGACAGCGATGAATAATAAATCATATGGCGTCCGGAACTTCATGATGTCATCGGTCTAAGATTATTCTTATAATTCTACAGTTTGATTGTACCGCGAAAAAAGAGCATACCGAATGCACGCAAACCGTTGATGTCAGATAGAACGATGAATTTCCTGTTCCATCGCAAACGAAGTGTAAATTCCGATTAAAACGCGTCAGAGATAATTGATAAACAATTTGTAATATATTGCGTCGCGCAACATAGGTACGTTGCAATATGCTGCTTTTTCTACTTTTTTCCTGGTCGATCAAAAAAAAAAAAAAAAGATATCCATTCGAAACAGAAGCTTCTCTTATCACTCGAACGAATCTGCGTTTGTTCTTCCTTTTCCGCTAGCGAAGACCATATGGCAAATAGATAAGGCATTTCACGGTCTCAAGGTAGACACGAATCCAGTCGAAAGACACGCGTCGCGAAACGAGCATGAGTGTCGCCGGACATTCGCAACTTCGCGTGTCGAGTGTCCTGAAAATCGTGACAGAGATAAGGCAATCTATCGCGCCGCGGTGGCCGATCTCTGTTCCGTATTGTCTTCGTAACTGCATTTTTCTCAATTCACATCGACATCTCCAGCGAACTGTGAACTGGAGAAACGATACCATCACGAGGTCGGCGTCGAATAGAATCGCGATCGACAGCGATCGAGGTCGGACGAAAACAAAATGAGAGGAAAGTGATTCGAGGCTTTCACGGCCCGGTATCATACAGTTCTCATCAGGAACTTCTACCGAAACGTAAACTACTGGTATTATACCGGTGTTTTCGGTCGTAAATTCGCCCTATATAAGCCCTACCCTTATAGAAACCGAAAGAGTACCGGTATTTATTTTTTCGGTAATATATCGGTTCGGTATAGACTTTGATGGCATAATACTGGTATCAAAATCATACCGATTTAAGTCCTTGGTTCTCACTGTTAAGGATTTCGGGTGTAAGCCGTATCCTTGTGGAATTGTTTTTCCAACGTTTAGAAAGGATTGCAGCTAGCTTCATCAGGGGGTTGAAAGACACACAGATATTGAATCAGTAATATACAGAGTGTCCCAAAATACTTGGGATGATTTCAAGTAACTTTTTCCTTAGCAAAAATGTTATCCGAGGCATTGTTAACGAGATATTAACGAAAAACCCGGACCAATCAGAGCGCCAGTCTGTCGGCCGAGCTTCCGCGGTAACGGTTACCAATCGCTGCGCGTACCGAACGCTAGCGCGGAAGCTCGGCCGGCAGACTGGCGCTCTGATTGGTCGGGGTATTTCGTTAATATCTCGTTAACAAAGCCTCGTATAACATTTCTCCTAAGGAAAAAGTTGTTGCAAATGATCCCAGGAACCCCTCGTATCCGGGAGTCAAAGCTATTTTGGGACTCCCTGTATACTTTTCTTTTTTACGAAAAGCTGGGAAAACAATACCACAATTAAACAGCTTACACCTAAACCCTCAACAGTGAGAACTGCATAAAAGGAAAGTGTTTAGTGTGTTGCACGAGGCGTCGTACTTATATCTGTTGAAATTCATATCTCCTGTGGTGGTTTATCCCTGTCGGAAACTCGGTCGAACGCCACACCAAGTTTGCGAAAGGAAACACACGATAGGGTCGATTTCCACGGTGACGATCGGTTAGACGCAGACGACGGTCATCGCTGCGATCGAAACGGTCCGTCAAGCAAATAACAGACTCAGGCTGGCTGGCTGGCGTGGGCTCCTGCGGCTTGCACGCACGTTAATATGCACGTCTAAGCTTCGCGATGATCGCCGATCGACTGTTTACCACCGGCTGACACGGCCGTGTTGTTGCGTTCCCTCGAAGGTCTTCTATCCGTGATCGGTGGCGGCCGATGAGAGCGCGAGTCGACCAGTCACCGAGCGTTCCGTGCGTGCGTTAGACATCGCTCGACTCTTCTCGCTTGCCTGCTGTCCGTTTGCTAAACGTTGATAACCAAGCTCCGTTCAGATAATCTTCGGATACCGTGGAATCCGCTCGACAAGTCCCCCGGAGGGGAAAAGTTGGTGGGGATCCAATCCTCCTTTTCCCCTCCCACGAATCATCTCGTCGAACACATTTTCAGCCAGAAAATATTCTCCTGTAGTAGTTTGTTGTAACTAGTATTCCCCTCTTCTGTGCGATGATGACGCGTGAAAATATTTGAATCGCGAATCAGCACCTGGTCGTAAAATTCACGGGTCGTTTGATCGTAAATGCAGCTCGAATCGATCGCAATCGACAGTTTGGATTTATCGTCCTTGAGAAATTATTACCCAATCGCTTCGTGTTCTTTATCTGATAACGAGCCTTCTTGTCTGCTTATCGACGCGTAGATTAGTACTTCAAGGTGCATTATCAGAGAAGCGTTTCTTTTTCTTTTCGAATATACAACTCTGAACGGGACTGAGAACGCTGCTGCCTCCACGAGTGCACTTTCGAAGTGAAGCGCTGCACCACGCGACATTCGTTTCGGGCGACGTCGCTGTTTTTTCCTAAGATCGACGTCATTCGATCGCGAACGAAATCGAAGTCGTAAACAGCGACACGCGGGTCGAGCAAATATAAGCAATAAATTCGCACGCGATAGGCAAACGTTTGCATAGAGAAATTGATATCTCGGCTTTTATTTACTCCGATCCCCATGGTAGCTCGCTAATTCCTCCTCAAACAAACGACTTTTGGTGGTTAAGCGTTTCGTTACGAGCCTAGGGAACACGTTTACGAGCCAGAAACACTCGTGGCTTCTCTGTGGAGAGCGTGTATCGTCGTCGAACGATCATAGGTCACCGCGTGTCCCTAAGCCAGTAGTGTTTTTCCAGTTACGAAAGCAGCTTGAGATTTATCGATCGAAACGCAGCTGAACGATCAACGAATACCAAATAATCGGTGGAAACCGCTTGGAACCGGAGCCAGCTGGTCTACGCCGATCCGACAGGCAGGTAACCGTCCATTCAGACGCAACCGGCTGTTTGCATTTGTTACTCTCACGGTTGGTATACAGTACCGTACAAATGTATTCGGAGAAAAATCCTTTCGTGTATCATTTGAATTAAGGATACTGTTGAGGTTACATTAAACAATCAACGTCTGTTTTGTGTAATTCTTGTTAGGTATAGAAATTCGGCTCAGAAAATTTTGCAAAATTTTGTGACTATTTCAGCATTGATACCTTTGTATACTAATGGGGCCTTATCCCCGTTTATTCTTATCATCTGTATACGTGAAAAACTTTTGAAAATTTCGAAATTTAGAAACTGACTAATTTCTTCACTCTCATATCGCAATAAAAGGTACAAAGGATCGGAGAAAATGTATTGTCATAACATTTTAATCGTTGTTGTAAGAGTGCATTGACAAGTCATTTTGACTTGCTTGGTAGTTCTAGTGTTAATAAAGATGATATATATATATGTATAAAAAATGTGTTAGTCTCAATTCATTTATCCGATACTGTATACCAAGAAGGCGTGACACACGCAAGAACAGATCGGTACACGTTTTAACGTTCCCTGGGACACGCTCAAGCAAGGTGTCTGACCTCTTTCCGCTATCGAAGCGGCTTATAATCGTCATTGAAAGTAACGCGTCTCGTGAATCGTGAATCACGGCTCGTTGCGTAGAAAAAGTCTTCTGATTGCAAATGTTAGTCTCAACAATTGCGCAAGATAACTGCCGGCTCGTACGCACAAACGCCGTTAATCTCGACGCGTTCTATTGACACAATAAAGCCGGTTTCACACTGGCGGTCACGGTCCGGTCAGATCACGTCAAATCAAATAGCAGTCTTTATCAATCACACGTTACTCTAATAAGAGATATATAGTTTAAATTCAGATTGATCGTGATCTTATCGTACCTTCAACCACTAGGGTGAAACTGGCTTTAAAGTTGATTGCGCGCTCGTTTCAAGATTAACACAAACTCTCCTCCCTCGTTTGTTCGAAAAACTAGTCTGTAAATTCGAGCGTTCTTTTCTTTCAACACGGTCGACGCCCTTCATCGGTCTTAATTACAGTTTAATCGATGTTTTAACCAGTTCCCTATTCGTTGTTATACAAATCGCGTTACATCGCCGTCATTTCGTTCTTTGATTTCGATAGGGAAAATTCCTCGCAGTCATTTCCGCTCCGCTTTCACAATTAACTCTCGACGTTTCAATTCACGGTCTTTTTAAACATTTATCGTTCCGATGCTCCGTGCCGTCTACGGAACGCGTGCGATATTCCGGTTTATCTAATTCGAACAGTAACAGCAGCGACAACGTATCGCGAGGAGATAAAGTCTTGTGTACTCACCCTATGATCCACAGAAAAGGCAGACACCCAAACGCCCCACGACCGCGACCTTCTCTCTTTATTTCGACGGGAGATCTCTGGTTCTTCTACCAGCCAGCGCGCATCGCCGCGGGAAAATCCACACGTCGGCGCACCGATCGAAACAACGACGGGAGATCTTGATCGGGGCTATCGGGAGCACCAATGTCCCTCGAACGCCGCGTGAACGTCCATTCAGCTTCCTCACGAGCACAGAATCCTCGGCTGCGTGAACACGAGACAGAAACGGGAATATGTAAACGGCGTGCGCGTGACAGGGGCAACGGAATGGGTGCGACCGGCGATGGGTCTGTTCACGCGTGTCCGAACATTCTGGATATTTTCACATCTGGGCTTCGAATTTCGACCTAACCCGGGAGCTGTTGCCGGGGAGAGAGTAAGACGTTAAATTATCAACGCGTATTTTTCATCTTTCCTTCCGAGAACTCGAATACGAACCGATCTTGCCCTTCATATGTCTATAAATAGGAAAAAACAATCTTTAATATTCCCGAAATTTTTCATCCCATTAGAACAAACCATCTAGAACAAAACACGCTCTACTCGATGGGAACAATGGTTCATTCCAACACGCCGGTCGGATAAGATAAGAGAGAAGCAGGAACTATGACGCTTAGGTCGAGTAACGACGACTTTCCTTATCGTTCGAATGTTTCGAGGACAGTCACAGACGTGTATTTAAACAGCGATACATTCTGTCCTTCCGACTAATCTGGCAAAAGTATCTATTTTCCCAATTGTATCTATACTTTCTATTATTTAATTCCAGTGAATCTTAGCGAGGCACGAAGAGGACAGGGGTGAAAGGACTCGAACCGACTCCGAGGGGGGTGGGACACGGTTTCTTGGGGGGGGGGGGGTGTTAGAGGGTGAGGCAACGAGGGTCAAACACCGGGAGAAAGTTGAATGCGCGAGACCTCGATGTTTCTTCCTGGAGCGCGGAGCGATGTCATCCTTTCGCGGCCAGGGAGGGTAGTTCGGATTTCTGGCGAGTTCGAAGGAGCCTACGGATTCGAAAGGAACGAACGATCCGGTCGAATCGAGTGCACGAACGGTGGAACGTTGACGTTCCTCGAATCCCCGTCGGCGAACTAGATGCGAAAGCTCGGGAGCGAGAAGCGTGCGGCGCGTATCCGCGACGCGAGCATACTGCTACTCGCGGACGCTGGAGGCGGCTGCCTTCACCCTCTTCAGTATTGATCCACGTGGCCCGCCTCGACGCTCTCCGAGCAGCCCCGTTACTACCGTCTCTTTGCCGCGTCCACCGACCGATGGCTACCGATCCACATCTCCACCCTTTCGCGTCCTCATCTTCTCTTCACCCTCACCGTTCACCTCGGTATCCCCTGTTTTCATACCGGCTTCTCTCCCCCTTCGACTGGACCAATGTGTTTTTTGTGTTCTCGCGATGTCGTTGACCCTTTTAAAATCGAGTATTCCGGCCTGATCTGGTCACGGTCTGGACCCTCCTTACCTTATAATCTAGAAACTTCAATCTTTGACACGGAAACACATTTTTTGAAAAAGGTCTTACAGTTTTTGAGAAAAAAATTCCCGAAGAACACTCTTTTTTTCGGCCTCCTGCCTGAGCATGATCCCTTAAACTCAGATAACAGGCAAACGTCATATGTACGTCCGGAAAAGGTACGTTTTGGATGTTTTGTATATTCGGAGGATGTGAGGAAAAGGTCCACATGTCCCGTTACGTCCTCGTTAAGATCTTTAAATATCTTGGGAAGGTCCTATTTAGAAAGTAGTAGTACTATTTTTCTAGTAGATTGACGATAACTTGATATTTGTATTCGTAGATTGTAATGTGGGGTGTGGCAAAGAATGGGACCGAATGTAATGTCGTGATTCACATTCGTTTAAGGGATATATCGTTAAAATCATTTCGTCCCGAATAAGATGATTTTGTTATGGGTGATTTTGGCTTGAGAAGGACTGTATAGTTTCGATATAGGGAATAGATACATAGAGCTAAACGGAAAACGAATATTCAAAAGAGAGATCGTGGTGTTTAGTCGCCTCTGGGAACAAAGCTGTAAACTTCCGGTCGTTCCCAAAGACCGAGGGTTGGAAGCTGAACGCGGGAGGGTCATCGGGTTTGAATGTAGGTCGTTGCCCTATCTGCAAGTGCGAAAACGCTCCCCCGAGGGCAAGCACAAAGGTTTCCAGGGATTTATTATTTATCCGGAAAAACAGGCGAGAATTATATGATATGAACATAGTTAAGATAAGGTTTACAGTTGCACGATATGCGGGTTATATTTATGTAAACTTCAGCGACGTATTATGATATATAATAGTAGTTGGTCAAACCGAATAGGAGGGTACGTTGCAGCTTTTCTGGAATAAATCAGCATAAATTCAACTGTTTATTTCAGGAAAACAAAAATCTTTATCTAGTATTCCTTTATTGGAATATTCGCAGTAGATTATTCCTATTGAATACGGACAAGTAGAATAGTCAGGATTGCATTGTCCGAGGAGTGATGCGCAGTCGATAAAATCGTCGAGATTTATCATATGAAAATACCTGCAACTGTCAGTTGATAAAACAGTGATGATCATCGAAGGGTTCGATAAATCGAAATTTTATACTGGAGAGCTAAATCTTTAAAAAGAACATGTCGCTTAAACAAATTAATTAAAAATGATATTTCTTTGGGGAATATGAACATCATAAATAAACGAGAGCGGTAGAGCGAGCCGTGGTATCGTTGCTTTCCGTCAGTGCCGACGCGTGCCGAACGGTGCCGGAGATGGCCGGAGCGATCGAACGGGAGTGAGTGAGAGCGGGAGAGCGAGCCGCGGTATCGGTGCTCTCCGTCGGTTTGACGCTTGGCGAGGATTTCAGGGGTCTATGGGGGGAGATGTGCGAGCGAGAGAGTACGGTAGAGCCGTAGAGCGTGCCGAGTATCGGTGCTCTCCGTCGATCCAACGCGCTAGTGTGTTGCGTCACCCAGTTTATTGACTTAGCCGTGTACGCCGTGTACCAAGGTCGTACCATCCCGTGCAGGTCTGTGCTTGCTTCCTCACTTTGTCGTGAACCGTCGCGGAGGGTGGTCGCGCGTCTCATACTCGTC